TGGAGCATTTTGTGGGCGGGAGTATGACTGCAATGCTACATGTAATAAAGGAGAAAGAAGGAATGTTGGTAAAAGGCGAAATCGTAACAGATACATGTACATGAAGTGAAGTATGTAGTCTCACATGCACTCTCTGGCCGACCTCATGCACACCCGCAACACGACTCCAAATTTTAGAGATTCTCACGTTCGTATACATTTTATCAAGTACAATATGTGAGGTGATAGCGATAATTATTACACCCTATCATGACTTGCAAGCGCCTACCGTGAAAGTGGTAGTATATTAGCACTTTCTAAATACGATGCTAACCACCTTCTTGTCCTCTTCCTACACTACAAGACTATGTTGTTACACACTCGGCGCGGTTGTTTTCATTATGTACGGCTTCAGCTCGCAAGCAGAAGCTTCAAAGTATTATTCTCTCTTTTCAGTTTTCCATTCCCGAGGAGGATCTGTTATGCTCTTATTGGGAGTTTCAGTTGTGGCCGCATAATAATATGTTATAGCTCAAGCACGTATTAATCTTACCCCTTGTACTACCGTGTGGAAAACATTCGACGAGACGGTTCCCACTTCTGACAAAGTCCAATTTAAAACGAACGTTTGTTTTCCGAGCGACCTCTCAAGCAGAACCCAGCTACTCATTGATTTGAGAAGTCCTAGCGCTACTGTAGTAGACGTAAGCTTACTCCACTGAACTGTAGTGGTGCTGCATGTTGAGGAAACCGGAACACAGCTAACGGTTAATCCTGACTGAGTGGTGTGACCATTGGGAGTACTGAGTACATTACGCAGAAGGTAAGCGTCTACAACGTTGTACTTGTTTGTTTGTTTGTTTGTTTGTTTTGCTTTTATTTATAGTCGTTCAACCAAACAGGGAATGGTGCCTTCTCACAAGGACTTTTTTGCTGTTGCCGCCTGAGTGTATCCGTGTAGATAAGATTGCCAGGGTCCAAGCGGCTCACCTTCATTGTGCATGATGGTTCATGTCATCAAAGTCTCAGTGAGAAAACCAGAAAGACGACTTAGTACAAATCTTATGGCAGGCACTTGCTGGAATTCTGCTCCATTTCTGTATCCACATACCAAACATGCATGAAACTGAAACATACCAGACAAAGTACCAAATTCTGCCAATTTACTTCCGGCATTATCCGCCAATGGCTACTGCTAACGCTGTTGCGCTGAGTGTCCTGGTCCAGTGCGGGAAGCTAATAGAGTTTGGAGCAACCCTCGCAGTGTGGCCGTGGAGCTGTCTACAGAGGGGTGATCTCCTCATTCGAATCACGCACATTTTCCTACACTAAAGCAAGTCCAAAATGACTGATACTGTATAATGGCACCGAGCCATTTTATTGAAGTGAAAATCAATACTCTTAGTCTTAGCATACCGAGTATTTGTTGGCTTCGCTTCGTTTTCACGGACCTCTTGACCGAGTTACAGTGATTTGCATGGCCATATGGGTGTCTTTCAAGTGCATCTGCACATGCCGGATTATTCCGCCACACGGGCCTAATATGGCTTGAGCACAACTCCCTTCGCGTTGTTTCCTGTATCTGCAGTCTACTTTGCCTCTTTGGCCTGCAGTGATACAGCATGGTCGTCATGCGTGGCGTCATAGACCGACCGTGATACCATACGGATCCCTGGACCAGAGTAGTACATACATGTACAGCTAACGAGTTACGTTACATGACATTGTACAATGTTGCCTGATGATTGCGAGAGCATGAAACTTAGAAACTTCAAGTCGCAGCAAACAAGCCTTGATTGTCCTTGTTGTTCTGTTCTGTATTACGCTCTGCCTCCGCCATGGTGTTGAGCACTGTCAGCACACTGGGTACACCCTCGCTCCGGTGTACAATGTCATAATAATAATTACATGATACATGACACATGTATACAGTGCTCTCGCATGACCAAGGTTCGACAGCGAGGGAATTCGATTCGAGAGCCGCGTACCGCAAAAGGCAGAGATGAGACAGTGATTGGACGAGGCTCTTCAGATGAGTCGAGCGATTCGCCGAATGCCATGATTCTCAGTGTGCTCAAAGAGAGCTGGAGTCGTAGAGAAATTATCTTCTCGATTTTCACTCTTCATTCTCCCGATTTTCACACTACAATTATTATTTCATGTACATGTACATGTATGCACAAAGTACCTGTATGTTTACAGAATGATCCTCGATGGAAGGTGTCAGAGTGCTCAATATTAATGCTGACAGATCAGCACTCCAGAGATTTCCCCCCATACAAAAGGTCCAATGGAATCGTGTCTCTACTCCGACATTCTAGCTCTCCTGGATTCTCCCGATAATTGCGTTGAGTAAGACAAATTGTTTGTGCAAAACCAATTCGGTGGAAAGGACGCAACTCTCCAAGAACAACAAGTAACTCCAAAGCACGAAAAAAGGCCAAAAACTAAACCAAGAACATGTGCATTAACATGACATTGTTATTTAGAAAGACAGGACAAGTGAATAATTAGTCAGTCCATTGTTCATGACAATCGGAGTAGAGACAAGATTCCATTGGATGTTCTGTGTGGACATGTAGGTTTACAGAGAACAACTTTCCCTCAGTTTAACCACGTATAGATCAGATGCTAGAAATGTGAGAAAAGTGGTATTCGTGCTAGAAAGGCATTGGCGGATAATGGTCGAAAAGGTGGCAGATTCTGCTCGAAAAGCAGTGAAATTGGCAGAACCATACAAACCTTATGGCGGGCAATTCCTCGAATTCTGCTCCATTTCTTTATCCACATACCAAACATGCATAAAACTTACCAGAAAAAGTACCGAATTCTGCCAATTTTTCTGCCGGCGTTATCCACAAAGGCCTAGACTGCTAGAGCAGTGAACCTTAGCTCAACACCACGCATACACTGTAAGTGGAGCCGAGAGTACAGTCATACACCTTTACGTTGGTGGAACGCATCGAAGTTGAGTTTTAAAATCAACTTCTAGAACACATCACGGATCCTTTAAAACATTCATCAGCATAATCACTGGCAGAACTTGGGAATACTGGAAAGCATAATTCAGCACAATCCACCAAGGGCTGTTTGTACTGAGTTCACCATAATCATTATTATTATTAGATTGAACCGCAGCATAGTATAGCACCATCATTGGCATTCCTTCTAACATAGTGACTGTAGCATAATGATCACTGGCATGATTCCAGCATAATTCGAAGACCAATTCAGCCATTTACCGAGCATAATCCGCCAAGGGCTACATCTAGCGGCTTCTCAGAAATTAAACACTACACCATATATGCAGTCCACCACATCCGCATACACATAACTCAGTCTCAGCACTCATTCTACTTTGTCTGTTTGCTGCGAACTTCTTTAGTAATTACCCGGCATAACCAAGCTTTTTATGATGACCCATCCTCAATACAAGCTCGGAGAAGCCATAAACACGTCCAGCATGATTGTGCACTCCGCGTGGATTCACAGCAAATCAGCATTCTTTAAAAGTTATCCGTACGTAGATCTACTGGTGTGTATTATACTGTGTGGTACATCACTCTATGCTACTATAGTGCTGGCAACTGAAATCCGACCCCCTAACGGTGCGTCCACATTCTATCGGTCTCTGTTTCGTAGTTTTACCATCCCGTGTTGGGTCTTTACGATGGCAGCGCACCGCTCAGGGGGTCGGATTTCATTTACCAGCACTGTAGAGTGTAGTAAAGCCTCTGTGTACAGGCAAAATGAATTGCACATCTCATCAAACAAATAATTATTCAGTAAACTACTATACTCAGTCTAGTATCGGCTAGGTCACAGTAGGTACGGTGCGTTGCTCGTAAAGCAGTCTACAAGATCATGATGATGTCCAGTCCATGGCAATTGGCATGCAGTGGTATGCTAGAATGCTTTGCCGGTGTGGCCTGCAGCGCAGGCTCCAACACAATGTTATTGTAGTTAGTTACAGCGACAACATAGAACGCTGATGTGAGCCTCTTGAGCAGCCATTCTCTCCTTCAAGTGATCGTCCACTTGAGAAAGGCGAAACGGCAAACAGCGCCTCTCCAGACCAGCTTCATTTAGCCCAGCGTTCTGGTGTAGGTATTTCTCCATCAACACACAAACGCGCGCGAACACGCACACATATACACGCACACATGTAGACACATACACACTTGTAGACACACACACACACACACACACACACACACACACACACACACATAAAGACGCACACACAAACACACATAATTTAGGAGATGGCTTAAATCTACATTGCACTATGATAATATCTGAAGGCCATCCCATAACCTTCTTTCACTTTCAGTGAAGCAAACACCAGAAGCAATTTGACCAACTATGTGTGTGCGTATGACCATGTCACGCAAATTATGACCAAGATCACGCACAGTACTTCTACATCATGTATCTGTAGTGCTTGTGGGTGTAGATCTACATGTCTGTGTGTGTGTGTGTGTGTGTGTGTGTGTGTGTGTGTGTATTTGTGGTTCATTGCGGACAAAAAGGGTGACCCCATCAGAGCGCTGGGAGTGTGACTACTGCCAGTGCTGGTCATGCGAATTCCCGGTTCAAGCGGCCGTCAAGAGACGCGGAATCTCCGATTGGATTGGCTCGTTGCTGCGTTTGCACTTTGCAGGCCCTCTTCAGACCGGATCGTCGATCAGTTCCGCGTCAACCGGACTCGCGCTTTGACTTTGAGCAGCAATGCAATGCAAAGCAGAGGAGCAATTGTCACAAGGTCCCCTCGCTCTCTAGCTCTAGCGCTGTTTCGTGCATTGGCAGCTCGCGACTTGACGCTGCACTGGCGGGCGCGATCTCCGCGTTGAGCCGGAGATTCTTCCTCACAGCGGACGAGTCTGTGAGAGCTGTTTTGTCAGTACAGTGCATGGTGAGCGCTGGGATGCGTGATACGCGTGTGTATGTATGTATGTATGTATGTATGTATGTATGTGTGTATGAGAGACTCGTGCGATTCTAGCGCAAGTGTCCGCTGGTGTACATGGCAAAGACAGGGACGCTTACGAGATGGCAGCTTCAGTCAATCCACCATGGATCTGTGGACGTATGTAGCTTTCGCTCAGAGTTAGGTCAACCACTGGCAGATTGTGCGTCTCTAGCGTAGGTCAGCTGCCTGCGCCAGACATCAGCGTGTGTACGTTTGGTGCGAGAGAAGAAGTAACGTTCCCCGGAAAGTAAATGGTGGGCGCGATCTTGGAAAGGCGAGGAATCCGGAACAACGATCCCAGGCAACATACTTACATGTTTGGTAGACTTCCAGATCGGCTGTCTTTCTCTGCGGAAACTGCTGACAACGGAGTATTGGTGAGGTCAAAACACCCGCTTCAGAACAACATTACTCTAAGACAGATAGTACGAAGCGTGGAGGCCTTCGGACCCTGGAGTGACGGAGACTCGACACGTGGTAATCCCTCCGCTCCGGGTCCGGATTGATACGTTGCGCGGATTGTTCATACAATTGTCTGCTGTCGGGTGAGCGAAATAGCGTGGTGTGAGTCACCACCCACGACCTGGAATGACTAGTACTATGTGCAGTGCCATGTGAAGCTGACTGTGCAGGAATTATCCATGCCATTCGAGTGGCAGTAGTAGTAGTGCACAAGCGCCGATTGTGGATCTACCGCAGTGCCTCTGATCTGCCACTGTTGGGTGACTAGGTGTGTCTGCGAACGGCCGATTGCCGGCGCGTGAAACCCAACAGCAGACGCACCGCAAGCTGCGAGCAACCAGCTTCACACTACAATCTAGTGCTGCCAAGCCCGTGGCAACCGAGGCTCGGCTGTGCTTCGCCGCCGCCAAGTCCGCTTTTGTGGCAGGCCACCGAGGCAAGGCTTCGCTCTACTCGGGTTCTCGCAAATCAATTCGTCCTCTCCGCTTCCTGAGCTCCAAACTGAGTTCGTAGTTAGTAGTGCAGAAAGCCTCACCGTGTTGGTTTGTAGGTACACGAGGACACTCGTGAAGGTAGTTCGCTATTGAGTACTAGTATTGCTGCGGGCGGTGAGAAACAGTGAAGCTGTCATCCGGAAGGTGTGTCGGCTGACTGCCACCCTATCGACAGCCCAGATTGCCGGAAGGCCGAGCGGTGGAAATAATTGCGTCTTTCTGCGCAAATCTTTGTAATGTCCATGAGAAGGAGAAAGGAAGCAAATACAAAGGAGAACATCCTGTCAGGAGTTGACATGATGGCGAGGCATAGCAGCAATAATGGAAATGCTGGCAGAAGATCGTCCCGTCAGTGTGGTGGCCTGTCGGTAAATCCGTTATTGCGACTATCAACCGTGTCGGCGCCGTCGTGGTTCCTGATCACCGTGCTCGGCTATGCTCTAACGTGTAGCGGCATTCACAGCGCTCCGCTGCTCTCGCCCAGTCAGGAACCTGGACTAGCGGTAGACCGGTTCGGATTGGTTCAGGCTTCTCTGGACCAATCGCATTGTTTGGCACGGTGCTACGCTGTGGATTGCGAGGTAAGTTATGCAGCGTACTGTGTTGGCGATCGGCAATGCTGTTTATGCCGTGTGGTGACCGTGTTGCTTTTGTCGTAAGGAATCTCCGGGAACTCCCTTGCACTGACTGTGCATGTGGTCAACTGCGATGGGTGGGAGGTCGTGGCGTATTTTCATGCATTTTATCAAGCCGTCCTTCTCAAAACCCCGATTCATCCTTTGTGCGTGTATGCCGCTGGGTTGATTGTACAGACACCCAGTAATACATAATTGCACATGTACCTCGAATCGAAAGTGTGTATGTTGAGAGCGATACAATCATCGGGTGGCCATGACAGCTATGGTCGGGGTGGGCGGGGAGAGGAAAGGGAAATTCGAGTGTCCTTGTAGCGCACACAGCAAGGGACCTCCTCACTGCTGAGTTGTCCTCGATTTACCATCGTTTGTCTTTGTCGGGACCCTGTCGCTGGGGCTGCTGTGTGGAGACAAATCTCGGGTTGCAAGCGACGGCAACAATATTGTCACGTCACTTTGTGAAATGCTAGCTCAGCGCCAGCGCTGAGATTGAGAGTTTCTGCGTGTCGCCATATCCCCAGAACCAGATCACGTCACGGAGATCCTGTGGCCATGAATCCCGCGTGACACGTGTTGGGACACTTGGGGCAGTGAAACGATATACACATGGTCCCCGCAGCACTAACGTTAACACAGTAACATGGGCATTGGGTGACATGTTTGTGCTCTATCAAAATATTGTTGTATGGTTAGTCTCCAGCCAATGGCACCAACATGTGTCACATACAGATTGCCGTGGCATTTAGCAGGGTATACGATCCCATATCCCAAACCGTACCAATTACCCGTCTGTATAAACCTGCGGCAATAATTATAATTGTGTAGGTCACCCAGGGGCAATTGATGTGTTCCACCCTTCTGGCAATGCTGGGAACTATTACTTATGTGGCTGTGTCCATGCAAGAATTTTGCTCTCACCATGGCTGCAATGGCGAACTGTCATGCTCTGCCACACCAGTGTATTTCGGAATGCAGTACACCACCGAACAAGTTCTCTCCCTGATAATTTTCTCAAGTGCTTGTTTTATTGCTGCAACAAAGTAAAACGTTTTGAGGGCATTAGCTGATCAAGGAACATCCAACCCATGTAGGCCGGCGGTTGAAACCTGTCCAGTCTCATCGGACAAGTAAAAAGACTTGGTTCACTTTATGGACCCCATGCACGAGGCGGTGGTTATGATAATGTCATACATATTTTCTGGACGATTTGCCCCAGTTCCCACAAAAATTAATGATGAAGATACTGATATGAGAAATGGGAAGAGGAAAATAAATAAATGGAGAAGTCACAAAATAGAAGCAGTCACGGTCCACGCAATCTAGAGAGTGGTGTGACATTCATCACAAGCTCATACTGGACAGCCGTGTTGGTTACAACTCCACTCAACCACTGCATCTATGGGTCACCTGACTTCAGCCATGGTGGTTCTACTGTTCACATGGCATGGTCACTTTAAGTACAAATTTCGGAACGTGATTATGTGAACCCACTCTCTTGGTCATGATTCGACTTGGTTGGATTTCATTGACCTCCGAGGCAGCTCTGTACAATCTCTTGTTTTCTGCCCTATCATTCCTTTGCAGCCATGTCAACGACTGTGCTTGCTGACGCTAGAGCAAGATGGACGCATCTCCAGCCTGTGTGCACTCTCTAACATCAATGTAAGAAAACCGAGTAATAGGATGGTCTGGCTGTCAGCGGTGATTAGGTATTGAAAACATGAGACAACAGCTTAGACTGGTACCATACATTCACGATTCTGAGGGCGTGGAAACTGGAAAGTCAAAAGTTTGAAGACAGAATTGACTGTCACCGCCAGGACGCGATCCGGGGACGTTTGCTATTGGCCAGCTTAAGTTGGATTGTATGAAACATGCGGGTTGCGTTCATGCTGACACGCTTATGGGGGGGGGGGACAAGGAGCTGCTGGAGGAAAACCCCATACTTCACTCTCTCGACTCTCTCAGCGCAATCAATAGTGACTGTTCTTCGCTTAGTGTGAGAGTAAGAGGCAAGCATGGGTCAACTTCTCGTGAGGTCTCTATAAAGCTACACAGTAGCTCTCGCTGCCTCCGTCTTGTTGCATGGCCGGGTTGCCTGCTTTGTTTCGCGCTCTCACAAAGTCACATTTAGGGTTCCCAGTTAAAAGGCAACATTGCCTGTTGGGAAATCCATAACAAAATAAGGAGTATTGCATGAGTATAGTGTACACAAATGTCGATTCAGCTTGTCTTATTGATTGCGGTTAGAAATAATAATAATAATAATATAAAATATTAGGCACAAAACTGACAGTGTACTGAGACATTCGACGTCCTGACACCTAGCTTCAACACATCTCCGTAGCGCTAATCGACAGCCTTCCAACTTGGAAGGTTCAAGGTTATGGAAAGACCAAAGAGGGGAAGGCAAGCGCAACGAAAACAAGCAAAAGCTACAGTCCCAAAGGAACAAAGAATGTCGATTGTTACTGGACGATGACGAGACCAGTACGATATTTGACATAATAATAGTCTTCAGCAATTGTTGAGCGTTTCAGTGCAGGCACCTCCATCGTGCGCCATTGATCGATCCAAGTGCACACAGATGTTCACTGGTGACAATAAACCTTGTTTATGTCGAGTTCCGCCTACTCCTCAGATTGTGAAAGTTGAGGCCCTTTGCTGACAGGGTAATGAGAATGATGTATACAAGTATCCATTGCCTCCCTAATTTCTCTGCAATTGTTTCATTATCCCCACCTGGCAGGAAACGCTGGCAGACGTCTTCTCTGCAGTGTGCGCGCACGAGGGCACGGTCATTGGCAATGATGCCATGCCGACGAGTCACCCTGCGCCTCGCGATGTCACGCAGCTCCCGATCTCGGCCTCGTCCAGTGTGTTGTCATGGAGACATGAGGTTGGTGACGTCATCGAAGGCGGTGGAGTGGACAATAGGAACACCACGAGTGTGTTCATTGTTTGCCAGGCGCTGGAGCGCAGCCAATGTGACATGGAGCTCAGTTTTAATCTGGTAAGTTGGTGTACAGAGCACTTTCTAAGTCAACACACACACACACACACACACACACACACACACACACACCCTCATGCACACACACACACACATACACATTCACAAACACACACACACACACACACACATGGGCACCCCCCCCCCCCCACACATACACAAACACACACACACACATACATATACCCACACTTTCTCTGTCCTTCAGTGACTCATTGTATGCCCATTGTGCTCTGCATTATGTTGGAGCATATCAGCAATATAAAGCATGTGCATCTTATCGTAGTCTAGTAAAGACAATTAAATCCCGGTGTGCTTTCTTTTCCGCCCCACATGACGTGACTCATCACCCAAAAAGTAATGACAACTCTCCTTACATCGTGTGTCCCTTGTGTTGCTCTTCTCCTCACATACACTGTGTAGGCATTAGGCAGCTCTCTCACCCTTCCCAACCAAGAAGCCAACAACAACCTCTTCTTCGTGGCCAGAGTATTCGCCACGACAGTCTCTGAGTTCTCAAACAGCCATGGTAAGAAGAAGCAAAGGCTACCATCAGCACAGTCTGGCCAATATCTATTTTGAAAGATTAGAAATACTCTCTCCATGGTCTCTTTGAGACACAGCCACGTTTGGCCACACTCTTGATTTACTTGTGTGCAATACTGTCTTGTATTCAAGCATGTCCCCTGAGGAAGCCTGCTTTTCAAATATGGATAAGTGGTCTGTGTGTATAGTGGATGTGTTTGTTGTTTACAAAGCCATACCAGGTTTGAGTACACGCCCAACTGGAGTTAAAGCTTAGCTATGAGGTTAATGGCAATGATGTGTGTATGTGTGCGTGTGTGTGTATGTGTGTGTGTGTGTGTGTGTGTGTGTGTGCGTGTGTGTGTGTGTGTGTGTGTGTGTGTGTGTGTGCGTGTGCGTGTGCGTGCGCATGTGCACGTGTATTTGTGTGCATGTGCATGCGCCTGCATGTATGTGTGCGTGTGTGTGTTCGTGCTTCGACCATGTACGTATCTGCACCCAGTCCTCGCTGGGGGTGCTGCCAGGAACATCACAGTCAGGCATATAGCAGTGGACCACCATGCTGCTATGGAGATTACCTGGATAGCACCTGATCCATGTAAGATTGATGAGAGTGAAAGCTTTGTGAAGTGGCTAAAATAGTCGTTGTTCAGGAGTGATCTTTCGGTATAGATAGCGGCTCATTAAAGGGGAAGTATACCCTAAAATCAAATTTTCACCAGTTGTAGTCTTCTGGGTGCTGAGTCGAATGGTCTTGGTCCGAGGAAGCTGCGACGCTCCCTTCTTACTTGAATTCCAATCGAACTCGCGCACTTCAACCGAAACTGGGTGACTGCGCCCTACAAGATGGGGATTTGTATGCAAAATGTCACTAAAAGCGCCATTTCGTTCTTATAAAAGCACGGATGACCGCGATTGGCCCATATGTTGTAGTCTTTTGGACGCTGAGTCGACTGGTTTTGGTCCGAAAAGGCTGCGATGCAGCGTTCCTCCTTTATTCCCAATCGAACATGGTTGAACAAGCGGTCACGTGCTCCTGGGTGCCCAAATCACCTGGTCACCGCGCCAGCAGATGACAACTTACTTTCACACCAAGGTTCAACTCGAGTTCAACTCGAGTGACAGGACTGCACCCAAAAAAGGTCAAACAGGCTAGTAAGTTGTACCCTGCAGGCACGGTGACCAGGTGACTGGTGTACGCAGGAGCACGTGACCGCTTGTTCAACCATGTTCGATTGGGAATAAAGGAGGAACGCTGCATCGCAGCCTTTTCGGACCAAAACCAGTCGACTCAGCGTCCAAAAGACTACAACATATGGGTCAATCGCGGTCATCCGTGCTTTTATAAGAACGAAATGGCGCTTTTAGTGACATTTTGCATACAAATCCCCATCTTGTAGGGCGCAGTCACCCAGTTTCGGTGGAAGTGCGTGAGTTCGATTGGGAATAAAGGGGGAAGGGAGCGTCTCAGCTTCCTCGGACCAAGACCATTCGACTCAGCACCCCGAAGACTACAACTGGTGAAAAATTGATTTTAGGGTATACTTCCCCTTTCAACTTGAAAGTATACCAGTGGATATCTTTCAAGAAGATGTTGAAGAGCCTGAAGTTTGTCCTTTATCTCAGTGCTATAGTTCATTAAACAAGTAAACTTACTTGCTATCAAGATACATATGGCAAAGAAATGATATTCTTACATGACACGTGATCGTTGCCGGGGCCATGGCCAATAGGCGATCTTCCCGCCACGGGCATAATCAGGCCATCAGGACCGTTTGACGTCATTTCGGGAGTTTCAGGACCGTTTGACGTCATTTCGGGAGTGTTAGGACCGTTTGACGTCATCTCGGGAATAATTTTTCGACCTTTCGACCTTTGACCTTCCCTAATATGTTGCTTCGCGCTGTAAGAAATCAAATCAAGCACGCTCTGTCTGTCATGAGCGTGCTTGATTACATACATCTGAGCAAAGCCACGCACCATTATATCCTCACAATCATTATTATATTGTTCTCAACACTTAATAATAATAATAATAATAATATGAAACTCGGATGTTGAGCCATAAATAAATGTAGAAGAGAAAAGGACATATGGATACGAGTTGAAGCTAGGTGTCAGGACGTCGAATGTTTCAGTACTCTGTCATTTTTGTGCCTAGTTATTGCACTTTCTGACTGTATAAAGTATCATGTTACAGTGATGGAGAGTTACTCTTAACTCGTATCCATATGTCCTTTTCTCTTCTACATTTATTTATGGCTCAACATCCGAGTTTCATATTGCACACCTGATGAGCCGTCACGAACCATACGGCGAAACGTACGTCGTGTGAAACAACTTGTTTTATAGTCAACTAGTCCATCACAATGTCATGCATGAGGAGTACTGTAGGAGTTTGGCTTTCGGCTTGTACAATTCGTTTTCGCAAAGCTTCCCTTTCTTTACTTATCTTTGATATTTATGACCCACCCAAGTTGGGTGGTGTGCTGCTTTGCTGCTTCGAATTGTAGTTAGACCGCTTTGTCAAATATCGTACTGGTCTCGTCATCGTCCAGTAACAATCGACATTCTTTGTTCCGTTGGGACTGTAGCTTTTGCTCGTTTTCGTTGCGCTTGCCTTCCCCTCTTTGGTCTTTCCATAACTCTGAACCTTCCAAGTTGGAAGGCTGTCGGTTAGCGCTACGGAGATGTGTTGAAGCTAGGTGTCAGGACGTCGAATGTTTCAGTACTCTGTCAGTTTTGTGCCTAGTTATTGCACTTTCTGACTGTATAAAGTATCATGTTACAGTGATGGAGAGTTACTCTTAACTCGTATCCATATGTCCTTTTCTCTTCTACAATAATAATAATAACAATAGTTACAGTTCGCATGTCACTCATGGAAGGATCAACACTGATGGTTGATAAATCTGGTGGTAAAGACATGCCTGGCAATATGGCGGTAAACACACGCCTGCCCACACACACGCTCTCTAAGCTGCAAAGTTCTGGCACAACACTCTTAAAAAAAAATGGTCCCAGGGCTACACCAGTGAATGCAAATATTCCTGCCAGAAATTCGAATGACAATGCTCTCTTTACATGATTAGTGTAGGTTGAAGGCCATTTTAAAGAGTGCTGTGAATACCGGTATGTAGAGTGGAAGTAGCTGGCTACGGTGGAGTCTGCCCATATCTAGAGTAGGTCGACAGGCAATTGAGAACAAAACTCTTGTTCATCAACAACAATTAGGACACTGCATTTGTGAGTCATAGCCTCAGCCATTGAAAATTGGGGGCCTCAAAATGCATTTTTTCTATCTGCAAATGTAAGGGTTAAAACCCATTGCTTAGTTGGGTCCTTCTATTGGCTTGGAGATGTCCCCTTTTTTGATGTGATGTTTGCGTTTTTGATGAATTAGTTGTGCTGTCTTCGCCTTCTTTCTTAGTTTTGCACATTGTACCGGATGAGTATGAGATGACAATTAGGTTGGCAGCATCCGCAGATGCTTCATGTACGTTCGCGCAGCAAAGCTGGCAAATAGCAGGCAATGAGGTATGATACCAGCTCTGTCTGTCTGTCTGTCTGTCTGCTGTCTGTCTGTCTGTCTGTCTGTCTGTCTGTCTGTCTGTCTGTCTGTCTACCTGCCTGTCTGTCTGTCTATCTGTCTATCTGTCTGTCTGTCTGTCTGTCTGTCTGTCTGTCTGTCTGTCTGTCTGTCTGTCTGTCTGTCTGTCTGCCTGTCTGTCTGTCTGTCTGTCTGTCTGTCTATCTATCTATCTGTCTCTCTGTCTGTCTGCCTGCCTGCATGCATGCATGCCTTACTGCCTGTCTCTCTGCCCATCTGTCTGTCTGTCGGTGAATCTGTCCGTTTGTCTGTCTGTCTGTTTTCCTGACTGCCTGAAAAGAACAGTGATGTCCAATTGCAAGTTGTTCATCTGTGTAGTCTCAAGACAAATTTCAATTTTCCTGTGTAGACAAGTCTATCATCACATTCACATTATTATTATTGTGCGTGTGTATGTATTTGTGCATGTGTTTGTGTGTGTTCATGAGTGTGTTTGTGTGTGTTTGTGTGCGCGTGTGGACGTGCGCATGTGTTGCATCTACAGACTCGTCTTGTTCTTCCCACAAATTTGGCCGACGACAACTTGACTTTGCTCTGTCCATATGAAATACGAGTGAGTTGACCCGCTAGCTTTTCTAAGATAAAGCAGCAAATCTTGGTTTTCCTCTTTTCTGCCCAAACAAAACCAAGTCGTATCATTTTTCAAACCCAGAGGTGGGTTTCGGGAACCTCTTGGTCGTCCGGTAGCAAGGATGAAATCAAGTGGATTGACAAGAGACGCGAATGAAGCACCCACAGTTTTGTTCAGAAACACCATGTGACTACTGCTGCTCCATGAGGACCGTGCAAACTGTATTCCAAATGCTAGTATCTATTTCCATGCGCCATTGTGTAGTAAAACATAATATTTCTCAAAATCCCTTCTCCCACATGTTATCCTTACAATGCCATGATATTGGTAAAAAAAGACTATTTGTCTGAGAAATTCAAGGTAGAAAATGAGATTCTGTTTCTTGCCCTGTGATGCCAGGTTCTTGCCCTGCCGATTGCCACAGTCTTGGAGAATAACGTGCACAACTTTACACTTGAAGGTAATGACTAGTATAAATCCAATGTAGCAAAACGCCCGATAAGAAAGGAACATAGGATATTCCGAGCATAGATGGAGTTTATTGACTTCAGCTGTATTGCTGGTGTGTCTGCAAACGTCTGAATATACAATGGTGAAGACCGTTGGAAGCAGTTTTTGATTTTTCCGGCCATACCCTAGCCTTTCATACAGTTTGTGTATGATATGTAGCGGGGTATACACATGACTTTCATACAGTTTGTGTATGATATGTAGCGGGGTATACACATGACTTTCATACAGTTTGTGTATGATATGTAGCGGGGTATACACATGACTTTCATACAGTTTGTGTATGATATGTAGCGGGGTATACACATGACTTTCATACAGTTTGTGTATGATATGTAGCGGGGTATACACATGACTTTCATACAGTTTGTGTATGATATGTAGCGGGGTATACACATGACTTTCATACAGTTTGTGTATGATATGTAGCGGGGTATACACATGACTTTCATACAGTTTGTGTATGATATGTGGCGGGGTATACACATGACTTTCATACAGTTTGTGTATGATATGTGGCGGGGTATACACATGACTTTCATACAGTTTGTGTATGATATGTAGCGGGGTAGTCACATGACTTTCATACAGTTTGTGTATGATATGTAGCGGGGTAGTCACATGACTTTCATACAGTTTGTGTATGATATGTAGCGGGGTAGTCACATGACCTCCTCAGCAGTAAACACACGTTGGTGGACAAAACGTTGGTCCGGCCATGGCCTGACCAACCGGACCGGTTCCGCCGGGCCTGTGGTATACACTATAATTATGACATCCAGCATTAGTATCTCAACTTCACAGACTCTGCAATGCATACAGTGTGTTTGCCAGACACGGGGGTTATTGCGTGTAGCACATCCGTTGTGCAATTACAGTGTGCGTATGCCAGGCATTGTGTGCTGCACACCCATTGTGTATTTGCAGTGTTTGCCTAAAACGGGATATTGTGTGCTGTACATCCATTGTGCAATTGCGGTGTGCTGCACATGCTATTGCTGTGTTTGTTACACACCCATTGTGCATTTGCTGTGCGTGTTACACACCCATTGTGCTGCTGCAGGCTGCTCCGAGCTCAACCCTGGCTGTCAGCTTCCCCTAGACCCAGACCTAGCGACACCTGGACAGTTCACGGCCAACGTGACGTTCACGTGCAGTCATGAGTTTAGACTGAACTTCTCCATGGTGTTTCCCCTACTGCCCGCACCACAATACATTCACAGTATACGGCTGGATGTGATAGCTGGTGTGGGGATTTCCATTCCAGTACGATCGTTCAGATTAGTTCCACAGACTTCAGATCGCCTTGTTATCCAAGATTGGATGGTATGTGTGGGCTGCTGCTGCTGAGGGGTGATGCGCACAATTTTGATATTTTCATGTTTGTTGTCTTTGGGAAATCCTCCTGTTGTTGCACCTTTTATGATGTGTATGTGTGTGTCTGTGTGTGTGTGTGTAAGAGAGAGGGTGTGTGTGTGTGTAAGAGCGAGAGAGAGAGAGAGAGAGAGAGAGAGAGAGAGAGAGAGAGAGCGAGAGAGAGAGAGAGAGAGAGAGAGAGAGAGAGAGAGAGAGAGAGAGAGAGAGAGAGAGAGAGAGAGAGAGCGAGAGAGAGTGAGAGAGAGTGAGAGAGAGTGAGAAAGTGTGTGTGTGTGTTTTGTGTGTTAGTTTGATTTGAGCCTTTCTCTCACTGAGGAGGACACTCCTCACACAACCCCCTGAGTCCACCACATTCAGTATGTTGTTGCCGAAATGTTTCTTGCGTTTGCAGGTTGGCCCCGGTCAGGTCTTCGAGGGTACTGCAGTCTTCAGCCGAGATATTCTGGACTCATTCGATGTGATAGTCTACGTTGTTGCAGTAAGTCACAATGGACCCATTGCGCAATGACGTAATTAGTACCCTAATAAACACCCTTCACAGCCACCTGGGCATGGTCGTCCGGGGTGTTGGACAGTGCATTGCTGATCCCAGCGTACTCACAAGCATTACTCATACATTCCATATTTGGCAATGCGCATTGGTCTATGAGTAATTTGTAGGAGTTTTTTTAGGCGCGTAGAGCAGTCCGGCTGGAGGAGGGTGCGAGGGGTCTTCCGGGGGAAAAATTTGAAATTAGTGTGCAAAATCCTGCATTCTGGGCACTTTTGGCATTGTGTTAAAAAAAGTGGTGCGGCCAAAGCCGGACCGGCCGGACCGGCTGCTACGCCCCTGTCTTTTAACACTCCAGTCACTGTAGTGGATGTAGAAAAATGGATGAATTATGGATTTTCAAGGATATTTTGGCCCAAACCTGATCTTAAATAGGCCAAAGTCGGGTTTTGGATAGCACTCTTGATGAAACTCATTGATGTGCTGCCATCTTTGAATTTACTTATACAGTGGAGAAGCACCTCACCAGCATGTGCTGTGTCACAGAAACCGTGATTTTCAAAGTGTGATGAAAATAGTAATGCTCTCTGCTGGGATGACGACTACGCCATAAATGTATAGTGGAGCATCGTTAGCATATTGTGAAGGTCTTGAATGTTATAGTTTTCTTCTTCAAATAGTGTGGTTTTCAGTAACAAGTTCAATTGATATTCAGATGACTCAGTTAATGTTCAGCAACACTCTTTCATGTGGATAGCAATAACGAGAAGAAGTTGAACGAACATGTGGCTACTATATTTCAACATTGTCAATGGGTGGGAATAATGTGCAGTAACAGAAGGAAAAGAAGAAATGAAGATGGAATAATTAGACTCGAGTAGAGAGGCAAGGAATAATTTATAAGAAGAAAAGGATCAAAGAGCTACAAGTTACGCTATAATATGGAGATGGAAGATGAAATAGTGAAAATGTCCATGTGTTTCGTGTTTCGTGCAGGTGGAGATATTGGTGATTCGTGATCAGATGCCTGGCCGCGTGCTCTTCTCCACCGCCAGCCCTAGCAGCAACACCACACTCACCCTGAACGTGACACGCACATTCCAGGACAACAGAGGCGTAGGTGAGTTGGGAAACGTATTGGGTACTTGCCACCGATTCTGGAGACCTCCCATCTTTCTTCATTTTTCTTTATTTTCCAAAGGCAAATAGACACCTATCATGGGAATCCAGTTTGGCAAGGTGTTGTTGGCCTATCTCAATCCTACTCTTCAAAGCTTGATGTGTTATGGAGAGAGCTGTTAACCAGTGGCTTTGTGAATCCTGCTGACGGCTCAGATTTGATTGAAAAAATTCTTTGAGGATGGTGCGTGTAGGAGTTTTCAGATTTTATGCGTGTGCAAACTTACTCCCTTCTACGTAACTGGTGCGTTGTTCCAGAACAAGCTACTGTATTGAAAGTGCCAGCTTCTGTATGCCATGCTTTTTATGTATTCTGGAACTTTTTCTCTGTCCTCACTCCCCAGCATGTGGCGGTGTCACGAATGCCACTGCGGCCACCACAACCACCACTGTCGCGCCAACGAGCAACGCAACAAACACGTCGGATACGGCAAACGTGACATCAGCAGCACCACCAACCACATTGCCGCCGGCAGTTACGCCACTACCACCAGTCACAACACCAGTAACCATGATTGGCTCAGTGACATCAGCCACAGCTAGTGTAGCTACACCCACCCAACAAACACCAGAAACAACAGCCATGGTGGACAGCAGCACAATCTCCAGTGCCTCGCCTTCAGCCAGCACAGCAACGACAATACCCGCCACTACGCTTCCACCGCTGGACCTGCCCCGAGATCAGTTTCAACTAGTGGAGGGCTCACTGGAGCAAGCAACCTGCCTAGCACGTTGTATTCTCATCGACACACGGGTAAGGGTCGAGTTAAAACTTTCAAGGGTGTTATTCTCTTTCTGCATACATCCATCTATACATCTATCCATACCTTGTCCATACCTTGTCCATACCTTGTCCATACCTTGTCCATACCTTGTCCATACCTTGTCCATACCTTGTCCATACCTTGTCCATACCTTGTCCATACCTTGTCCCTACCTTGTCCATACCTTGTCCATACCTTGTCCATACCTTGTCCATACCTTGTCCATACCTTGTCCATACCTTGTCCATACCTTGTCCATACCTTGTCCATACCTTGTCCCTACCTTGTCCATACCTTGTCCATACCTTGTCCATACCTTGTCCATACCTTGTCCATACCTTGTCCATACCTTGTCCATACCTTGTCCATACCAGGCGCGTGCTCGGCGATGGGCACGGGGGGCACGTGCACCCCCCAAGAATTTTCAATCTTGGTAATTGCAATTGTAATGTATGCAAATATGCTCTAAAATTCAAGAAAGGTTGCAAACAAATTGCTAGTGGTGAAACGAATATACCGAATATTCGAATGTTCGTTCGGTTTGTCACATTCGAACGAATATTTCTCATGGCGAATATTCGCTAACCGGGTATGCAGAGTTTACCGGGCGACTTCAAACTTCTGTAACTTCGCGAATGCTTGACCGAACCGCTTCATCGAAAGTTCCTTCGGCATTAGAAAACTCTCAGCTGTCGTCTCGAAGCAACCCGGACGCGATCCGAGGTCCTGGAATGGAGTTGTGGTGGTCGAACGAAAAATCACGTCTTGAGCTGTTTTTTGAGCGTGTAAAATGCTCTTCAGCTGGGGATTTTGTTTGACCTAGAAATGGTGGAGAAATATGTGCCTTCGTTTGTCATGCCTAATAATAGTGACACCAGGGCATAGCTTAAGGATTTCATTTAGCTCGGACAAATGTCCTTCCGTTTTGAAATCTGTCCGGACATGCCCGGACATTTCCACAACACATTTTCAGGGTGTTTCTTCTTTTTTTTAGTAGTAGTACTGAAGTATATTCACAATGACTCATTATGTGGACGTATCTGAATTGACTGTAGCAACAACGCGTTGCTACAGGCGGATCAAGTAAATAGTGAAGTCTACGCCTGAGACGACGGTATACGTGTTAGTTGTACGATATGCAAGTGGCATTTGGCACGAAGCTCCGAAGAAAGCCCAACTCTGCATAAAAAGGTCGAAAGGTCGCTGCTCTTTTTTTTTACTTTTTTGACCGGACACTATGTTTGGTGAAATTGAAAACGTCCAGTCAGTGGCCGAAAATGGCCGGAAAATGTCCGATGTCCGGCCGTTAATCTATGCCCTGTGACACTATCCAATAAAATGACTGAGAGGAGGGCGTGTGATGCCATCCGTGTTAACGAAAGAATATTCGTTCGTTCGTTCGTTAAGCCAAAGAATATTCGGCTACTGGGTTTTGATATTCGTTTCACCACTACGAATTGCAGAAAATTGCCGGGGGGGGGGGGCTCCCCTCGGCTCCCGTGCACCCCCCTAGTTGGGGGGCCGAGCACGCCCCTGCATACCTTGTCCATACCTTGTCCATACCTTTTGTCCTGTTTTTCCCTTTCTCTACCTAACTAGTCCAATATTTCTCATGATGTGTTCTCTTCCGTCTGTCTGCTGTTCTGTTCCTGTCCATGCTCTTGTCTGTGTGTTGCCTTGGCTGTCTCTAGGAATGCAAGGCCCTATGCCTGATCACTATGCAGAACTTTGAGCAGGTGCAGGACCTGTGTGACAGACTACCCTCAGTAAGTACAAATGCTGTTACCATGGCTGTGTTGAGAGCCGATGTCCAGCTTGAATGCTGCTGCTAGGTCCCCATCAGTCTCTCACCTCGTCGCTCCTCCCCCCCCCCCCATACAAATGTTGTCTCCAACCTACCCTGAGCAATGGGACGTACAGGACTCAATGCTGTGTTGGTTCCAGTGATGAAGCGTCTTAGTCTCCATTCCCGTTCAGAGCCTGAGCAGATATCTCTACTGCAGCACTATCCAGAATTCCACATCATACCTAACTGTTTTCTACCTTTATCGTTTGCTCTGTATCCGCTCCTGACAGATTGCTGAAGACACTGTCGAGTCGGCGGTGTGTTTCTATAAAGCCGATCCCACCACCGCAACACCGCCCAGTGCTCCCATCAACTTCACCCAGCTGACCATAAACAGTCACTTCAGTGTGTTGTCGTGGCGACACACGAGTCGCTACACCGACAATGATACCGTTGCCGATGTATTCATTGTGTGTCGGGGCATTGGCCGCGAGAGGTGTGCATCGAAGAACCTGCACAATTTGGTGAGATTCGTGCAATTATACATTGGTGTGTGTAGCTCCAGTCTCATGGGTTGTACCGCCATGGGTGTGTGTGTGTGTGTGTGTGTGTGTGTGTGTGTTCAGCCTTGCAAGCTGTTGAATGATGCAACCCCAGCACAGGTTGCAATGGTTTCTGCTGTAGCATCGTTATCATTGCCTCCGGCGATGGGCGTCAAATGGTCAAAATGGTCAAATGGTGTGTGTGTGTGTGTGTGTGTGTGTGTGTGTGTGCACGTGTGCGCGCGTACGTGTGCGTGTGTGTGTGTGTGTTGGCTATAATATTGTCACATGTGTATGCAGTGGTGGTACCTAAGTACAGATTAAGCATGTGTGCTCAGAGTTGTAAGTTATCTATTTGGAATAGGTGTATGTATGTGCTGTTCATGTTCCTGGTGTTGTATTTTCATGTTCCTGGTGTTCTATTTGCTAACGGTATGCGTTGTCTGCTATGACCAGTTAAGGAATCGTTTTTGGTGACTCTAGTGATGTCGCCATGCTGAGAAATTTATATCTTACCATGAATTTTTATGATCTATGGATTTCACTATTTTCCCTTGCCTTTTTCTTTCTTGTTCCTCTCTCTCCTTCTCCCCCTCCCCCTTTCTCTCTCTCTCTCTCTCTCCTTCTCCCCCTCCCCTTCCCCTCTGTCTCTCTGTCTCTCTTTTTCTCCCACTCTCTGGCTCAAAATAATTCTCCCTTGTAGGCACTCACAACAGAACTGAGAATACCGTTCGATGAGGGAACCAACTTCTTTTACGTGGCCACCGTTTCTCCGTCCAGCGCGTCCGAGTTCTCCCAGTCGCAGGGTATGTGATTAGTAGACATGTTTCTCTTGACTGTTGGCTTATGATTGCCTCGGTTGTGAAGCTTGGAGTTACCACAGCACCTTCATTCTCTTCTTCCTGGGGGAAGAGTAGAGTACTTGAAGATCCAGCGCCAAGGCTCATGCGGCCCTGCAGCCCTTGGGGTGTTTTTTAGACCATGCATGTCATAATTAAAATGGAAGCACTGCGTTACTTTTGACTTGTGGGTAGGATTCCTTCGGCCACGACTGTACTAAGATTCGCATGAACATTCAATGTATGAGATTTTTCTGTGGCTCAATGTGGGTATGTACAATGTTGCTGAATGAAATTCAGTGGCATCACTCAAGACGCGCTGGGCATTGCCTAGCCCTAGCCCTGCAAGCACTGGGCTGAGAAATGGTGCAAGGTGCAAACTTGAGTGACGACGCAACTGGATTTCATTGAGTAGCACTGTACATTAATGCAGGAAAGTACAGCAGCGGTGTTTGTTGGCCCTGCGTTGATTTGTGTTGTCCGTATTCTTGTCATGCTTTTGTATCCTGTATAGCTATTCTGGCTGGCGGTCTCATCACAAACATCACAGTACGACATGTCCAGCTCAACTTCCACGCGGCCGTCAATATCACATGGATGCAGCCAGATCCGAGTTAGTACAGTTATCCAGTAGCCCTAGGCTTCAGTGCATGTGACATGTCACGTCTTTGGAAGGCACTCCACATTACTGTGGCCATGAAGGGGTGGGGGGGGGGGGGGGGGGAAGGGGAGGGGGGAGGGGGCCCTCCCCTGTGATTTTTTTGGAAATTGGATCCAAACAGTTCATATGTTATTGCTTCAAAACTCCCCAGATAAGAATTATTGATGCTGCTTTCGCCGCACCTGCCTTGCCGGTTCCGAAACCCTGCACTACTATAAGATAAGGACAGTGAAGCTGGATTTTCTGCTACATATGGGTGGACTTTTTGTCATAATATGATCGCTGAACGTCTTGCTGGCTTTAAACGCCCAAATTTCGGCCGATTTCAGGCCAAAAGTGCACTTTAAAATTGAAAATTTGTTAAGTTGGTTAGTGTTGAATGTGTGTGACTTGCTCTAGATATTCAACCAGTGCCAAACAACTATGAGGTGACCATTCGCGTAGGGCCAGATGCCGACCCATCGTGTTTGTTTCAGGAGTCAACATGGATTACAACGGAGGTTGGTTGTGCATGTGCGTGTGTGCTTTGCTGTCTACACATGGGGTATGCATGGGAAGAGCTGAGATGCAAAAAACACGATAAGAGCTCAATTTGAGAAATCAGTATTTCAGCTCTGTGTACTCAAAAGGTCTAGGGGCAGCACGTGGTCAAAATTTCACAATCAACATCAGTTCTGACTAGAATTATTTCGAAAAATGGGAAGCCAATTATAGATTTAGACACAAATCACACTTTTAAAATGAAAAGTGATGAAATGGAGTTAGCGGGTGTTGCATTAGAGCTGTTCATATGATTGTGTTCATTGCCTGTGCACCTTGCTTTCTCCATGCTAGGGTACTGTTTACTGTAAGGTACCCACACAGATAGATAGCATGATTCTACGATTTCACAGCTTGTGTTGGACCGTTCTGAACGTTCATTCTGTGATCAGACTAAATACTAGTAGTCAAATCCTGACACTCGATGCTGATGCGATTGAATTGAGCACTATCCATTACGCATACTTAACATCTTGGCATCTACACCAAGACACGGTCTGCAGGCATGGCTGACAGTATTTCATTTCTACTTTCTATGTGGTTCAGCCTCGCCTCACTCTGCCCACGGATCTCAGCGATGCTAACCTCACACTGGCTTGCCCATACCAGATACGAGTAAGTGTAACCATGCGTTCACCGTGCATCAGGGGCGGATCCAGGAGGGGTTCCAGGGGTTCCGTGGAACTCCCTAAATTTCTTAATTAAATGTACTACTGCAAGTCATAATGCATCTGCATAGTATGTGTACTACTGTCGTGGACATGGAAATCCGGTCGCTCGTCTAGCGGCCCCAGGGCGCTGGCCATGCAGCCGTTGGTAAGCAGTACACGCATGCATTATGCACTGTTGGTCCCATCGGATCAACAATAATGATTGTGCACTGCATGCAGCGTTCTGAGGCGCCGGCCCCGGTCAATCGACTGGATTTCCATGTCCGCGGCAGTAGTATCAGTTATTCAGCTTTGACTATACTGGAATCCCCTCTGTAGAGATCGCTGGATCCGCCACTGTGCATGCCATTTCTGCGATAATTCTGGTCACCCACAAGTTTGCACTTTTCTGATTTTTGTTATAGCCATCAATCCTGTCTTGTTTGGCTGTGTGTTTGTGATTGAGATAGGGGACAGTTCTCAAAAACTATGATCGAAGGACCCGGGGTTGTGCTGCAACTGACCATCCAGTGCAGACTCATGACCTGGTGTGCAAATGCTATGTCAGGGGAATGATGTGTAGCCTGCTGTGCATCTGACGTAGTTCCTGGCTATCTCAACTCGGCACATCAGTGATCGGCCCGTAGTAGTTTTGCACAGTTTGTTGAGTATTACAGCCCAAGGACCGCATGACTTTAGAAAAAACAATAACACCAACTTGGTCGGTGAACACCGCTGCAATTCTGATGTACTGCATGGCTAGTTCAGATTTCCTGTACCCATGGTACAGTACATATTGGACACTATTGTCTAACTGCTGCAGAACTGACTGTCGGAGAACATCCAGGTTAGAAAGTCACTGAAATTTTGTAACTTGCAAGGCTAGGAGCAAAGATATAGAAAAGCCGATGTGTTTGTCGTGTAACATTGCGTGCACCGTGTACCTGTACTTGTGAATGTACAAGCACACAAGGAAAACGAAGACACTGTAAACATCACTTGCCCTGAGAGGAGACCCTCGTACTCCCGATTAACTGTACCTTTCAAGTAAGGGTTTTACTAAAGAATTGGAATCATGTTATTATGTTGCCTCCAGGTGGCTGCCCCTCCCATTGCTGTTGTCTTGGAGGATGACTACCAAGATTTCTTCTTTCCAGGTAATGTGTTAACAGCACTCCAAGGTGCAGCTTATGAAGCAGTCATGACCATACAGTACTGCTGTATGCCGCGTTTTCTTCAGCTCAGGTCTTCGGCTAAGTGACCAAAAGCAAACTCTCATTCCTATGTGTCCAGCAGTCTTATTTAGTCTACGCTACCTCAAAAATGTACTCTAGTATTCAACATCCAAATGGTACCGTTCACAGTTTTATTGATAGTCTTCAACGACTGGATAACATTATTATTGTTGTTTTTGTGCGCATGCCTGCGTGTGTGTGTGACTGTGTACTTGTGCATGTATGTGTGTATGTGCATGTGTATTTGCGTGTGTATGTGCATGTGTATTCGTGTGTGTATGTGCATATGCATACGTTGGTGTATATTTGTGTGTTTTCATACCTCAGCCTGTGACGCTGGTTTCGCCGAGTGTCCGCTGACCTATACCCCGGACGATATCGCCATGCCAAAGAACTTCAGCGTCAAGATTGACTTTGTGTGTGCCACTCGCTATGTTGTCACCTACTCGTTTGTCTTTCCGTTCGCACCGCCAGCTCAATACATCCAGTTGTTCAGCCTGGGACTGATCGGAGCCGTCCCTCTAAACATCCCTGTACGGCCGTACCGTCTCGTACCGCAGACGGCGGCCGAAGCTGAAATCACCGACTGGACTGTGAGTTCTTAGAACAGGTCTCCCTCTCTGGTCACCAACCTCACGAGCAAGCCATTGCAAGATGGGAGACATGCATGTTAAGGTGTTACAGCACATTCTTTTCTGAACAGTGAACATACACATCCACTCTTTGTGCATAGGGAGAGGGAAAATGAGAGGGATTATTATTTAATTTTTTTTTTTACAGAACAGAATAACAAGGACAACAAGGCGTGTTTGCTGCGACTTGAAGTTTCATGCTCTCGCAATCATCAGGCAACAATATTTTTCTACATGACTGCATTCACTTGCACAAGATCACTGACACCTGCAGCAACCTCTTCCACACATATCCATTGAGCACTGCAGTCAGTGCTATCGGTAGATGACATTTTTCATGAAGCCCCGAGCAACACCCAAGGCATTTTTGGTTCTTCGTTACATGTGAAACTCGAAGCTGAGCAGAGTTGTGGCCAAAGCGACATAGCATTGCACTGCACACTCTTCAAGCTTTGCTCCCCCCACCCACCTAAAAAATCCCTTTCAAAATCAAAAGCACTGCAGTGTGATGCATGGTGTGGCCTATTACCACCCACCTTGTTTTCTCTATGCCAAATGTATATCATTCATGTATGCATTAACACAGCTCCCACAATGGGAAAGCTGTTACCCAACGTGCTTATTCAGCGCTACAGTTGAGTAAAATAGCAGCAGACCCACAATAGGGTAATGCATTCCTTCTGTGGAGAGATGCTGATTCATGCAGCAAGCATACACAACGGTTCCCAGCTACTCCTCTTAGAGTTTAACCTGTGTTGCCACCAGTTCTTGACGTTCACTGCGTGTGGGTATGTGTGTATGCGTATGTGTTTTGTTAAAACAATAAAGTGTTTTAACTCTGAGTTTCACGCACTAAGCGATCATCAGAAAACAGTTTTCCGTCCTCTTATTGTTTGAACTTGCTCTGCTTCTCGGTATTGAGCACTCTCTGGACAGCCTGGAACCTCTCTGTTTTATGTGTTTTGTTAGGTTGGTCCCGGAGGTACTGTCAGTGGTGTTCACGAGATCAACAACAATCTCCTTGCTGGTAACGACATCATAGTCATCATTGCCACGGTATGGCTGGCGGGGCTTCGTCTCCTCGTGTGTTCTTCATGTGTGCTTTCTCTACTATCAGTCTGTCTGTTCGTACGATAACTATCTGATGGCGTAGTAGAATGGATGGTGTCATGGGGACAATATTGTAGCATCAAAGATTCTTTGTATGATCCAAAATCATCATCAGTCATGTCACTGTAGCATGATCTCATTGTGCCTTGCATGATGTCATTGTATCTTGCATGATGTCGTTGTATCTTGCATGATGTCATCACATCTTGAATGATGTCATTCTGTATCACATGATTTGTGTCATCTGTCCTACATACCTAAACAGTTGACCAGTGTGATCATAAGAGACTCACCACGCAAGACGTTCTTCAGTACGCGGATGCGAGCGATTGACCTAGAGATCAACGTCACCACACAGGCCAGAGCATCAAAATCTATACGTGAGTTCTTAGTCAACCCTCCTAGCTGAACGAAACCCATATTCTACAATGTGCAGGCAAATATTTGGCATTATGTGACCGAGCCTAGCTTAAACTTCCTACGTCAACAGTAAGATGGTATTGGACACAGGTGGATGCCACAGACATGCTTCATGCACAATGCAATGTAGACATTGGCAGGACTGATTAGAACCCACTCCAGCCGGCCCTTCTGTGGCAGTGACCCATGCTTATCGGGCTACCGCTGATCACACATAGGTACTCACCCACGCATGCATGCATCCACACACCCGCATGCACACACCTGTGGTCCCCTTCTTGCTGTAGCTACGATGTCATGATGTAGGAGGAACTGTGCTTACTCAGGTGCTAACAGTCATAGTGGGTCATGTGACGAAACACTTATGCATGGTTGATCAGTTGGTAAGGATTTGGTGGAAAGTCAAATAGGTTGGTTAGCTGTTCATGAGACAGTCCTACAATTCTTCAGTTATGACACGTGTGCTTGTGGTCATCAAGGAGTCACTGGTCCAAGTGGTCACGTGATGTAGTTGTGTGCCCGTTATTTTTGTTGTTATTGTTGTGCTGCTGTTGCTGCTGTTTGTCCACATGCAGTCATATGCACACCTCCCCCTACAACGCTACCAGCGATAACCACACCAATGAACAGCTCAGACAATAGCAGCGCAGCCGTGTCCGGTGACGACGAGGCAACGCTCACCATCGCCATAGTAACATCAGTGGTGTTTGTGTTTCTGCTGATCGTTGCCGTACTGGTGCTGTATCGGCGCGGCAAGTCGCCCGGAACATGGAACCTAGAACGGCCGCTCAATCACACGTTCCTGAATCGCTCTCACACATACTGGGTGTCGCCGACCAGCAAAGGCAAGCAGTTCTCCGCTGAGCTGGCCATGCAGCTATCCAGATGGGAAGTGGATCTTGAGAAGCTGACGTTCGGCCAGGAGCTGGGAGCCGGCGCATTCGGACGAGTCATCAAGGGAGCGGCGTCACAGCTACCCAACAACAACGATGTCACGCCATTGCCTGTTGCCATCAAGACAACGAAACGTAAGAACTAATACTCACTGTTGGTACTTGGCCATATATGGTGTGCTGTTGGTGCTCGTATCACGCTAGCATCTTGCTTATCCGGGCGGTACGGGACAAGGCACTGCCCGTTACTTTGAAATGCTGGTACTTTCGAGTTCATCTTGTGGTATCTGTTAGCGATAGGTGTGGTGACGGGTGGCGGCGGTAGCGGTGACGGTTATGTTAGCATTATTCTAATCCGCGGCTAGGTCCGCGTAAGAAACTACACAGCTGTGGAACGAGCAATCATTGTCCAACTGCAGACTTGACAATAAGTATGTGCTTCTGTGTATAAAAGAAAAGGACACATCCATAATTATGTCGTTTTCCTTTCTACATGTATTATTGGCTCAACATCCGAGTTTCTGTGTATGTGTGTGTCATTGTCTCTTTTACAGCTAATGCATCCAAGGCTCAGAAGATAGCTATGGTCAGTGAGATTGAGCTGATGATGAAGTCAATGGAGGGCCATGATCCCAGCAAGCATCTAAACATTGTCACCATGCTGGGCTGTGTGACGCTGAGTGAACCCTACTGTCTCGTTATGGAGTACGTTCCACACGGCAAGCTGCTTGACCTGCTGAGAGGTGCTCGCTGTAAGGTATGTCCGGTCCCAAGTTCTCATCTACACCCTGTACATTCAGATTACTCACCTAGATTCGGATTACTCACCTAGATTCGAACTGGTCACCTAGATTCGGATTGTTCGCCCATGTTTGGTTTGCTCACCTACATTAGGATTGCTCACCTGGCGTTGGATTTCACCTATGGACTTTTCCAGTTTTCCTGCTTGTACAATCAACCCCTTCAAACCAAACATAAAGGAAGGCGGGTCGACTGCCTCATCGATCAATACGGAGGTTTAGCATCACGAATTTCGTGTTCGAGTTCTCGAACTGGATTGCGAACTTTCGCATTTTTCGTTCGGAAAAGTAGGCGAGACACAAGAATTGCGGATTCGTGTCAGGGCAGTCATAAATTTACTACACTCTACTGTCTGTACACAATGTACGACGTGTCAACGTCATGAATGTGAGAATTCTGTTTGCTAATCCTTCTCATGACGTGAATTCCGTCACTGATTTCAACTTACCTTGGAGTGCGAACACGAACGCGAATTTCGTCTTGCTAAACCTCCGTATTGCCGTAGTTTATGCTGGACGTTTCCCTGTGTATTGAAACTTTCAACATTCAACAATCTTCTCGTGTTTCTTCCATACCTCTGTACAGAGCAAGGAATACTGTGAATTGACCAAGACAAGTCTGGGTAGAGTGTTTGTGGACCTCGACGAGAACGGAGCGATACGGACGGCGGAGGCAGCCAAGTACGGGCGTCATATCACACGGGGAATGGTGAGTCATGATGCAAGCCTGCATTGTATACAGAAACATTTCGATTGAACATGTGTGTATATCGGGCAATAGGGCATGCTTCATATGCTTGGTGATTAGATACGTTTTGTTTGGGAGTGATTTTTGACCAACTATGCTGCTCTTTCATATCTGCTTTTCATCCTCACGCCTCCCCCCCCCCACAGTGTTAAAGGCTATAAATGTACGATTCTAACGATTGGATATTCTGAATAAGCCAAATGTATCTCAATCTGTGTTCGTCTCATTTTACCCAGGACTATCTTGCTAGCAAGAAGCTCATCCATCGTGACTTGGCAGCACGCAATATTCTGGTGGGCGAGGACAAGGTGTTGAAGATCTGTGACTTTGGTCTGGCTCGTGACATTGGCAAAGATGAGGTATACGTACGGATGACAAGTGGAAAGCTGCCGATCAAGTGGATGGCACTGGAATCATTGGAGGATAACGTCTTCACAATAAAGAGTGATGTGTAAGTCAAATTGTGCTTGTGCGCACTTGTGCGTGTCTGTGTGTCTGCTGCGCCTATGTGAAGGTGTTCACCCATGTGTGTGTGTACCATTCAGAATGATTTGACCTCTGGTGATTTGAAACTCGGTCTTGGATCAAGTATGTGGTAGTTACACTTAGCGGTTCTTCGGGACACTTTTGCTCCAAAATCACTTTTTGTCAGATCTTGACCGAAATTTGGTAGTATGTGCTATGGACTATTGACAATACACGGTATACAGTGCTAACTTCAAAGTGCCAATTTTGAACCCCGAATGCGGTTTTTCGGCCCATTTCCTAAATCAGCTTTTTCACATTGTTTAACATGCGGACAAGATTCACATAATAACTTGGCCAATAATTGAGCAAGAGATCTGAAATTTGCTAGGCAGAGGCACTAACGTTATAGAATATAGGTAAATTATTGTGTTCTTTGGACTCTCACAATGTTGGGGGGGGGGGGGGGCGGATTAAAGTTCTCCGCCGTCTTGATAAACTGTTTTTCTTGCATGCTTGGCTGTTTGTGTGCCTGCCTCCCTGCCTGCGAGCGTGCGTGTGTTTGTGTTCATTTTCACTGTGCATAATGTATTTGTGCAGGTGGTCATTTGGTGTTGTCATGTGGGAGATCGGTACATTAGGGGAATTCCCTTACCCAACGGTGGAGTATGATGAGCTAACGGAGCATCTGCACCAAGGACACAGACTAGAGAAGCCAATGCACGCTGATGATAGAATGTATGTTGGATGCTAGATATCTGTTTGTTCAGTGTGTGCATGGTGCTTGTGTGTACATGGTGCGTGTGTGTGTGTGTGTGTGCGTGTGTGTGTGTGTGTGTGTGTGCGCGTGTGTCCCTTGTTCTCGTGGGGGACGGTTTGCCCTTTTTGAGCTCCAGTTTTCTCAAAATCTTTCAGTAAATTCTCTCCCGGCCAGAGGCGGCCCTCTCCGGGTCGCCTTAAGGCCAGCAAAGCGCTTTCGACAAGGGGACCGACACAGCTAAAGGACAGGATGGCGTTTAACGCCGTCACCTTTGACTGCGCCCTTCATCGCCACTCGCGGAGGTTTGACAAGCCCCCGAGTGGACTCCATCACCCGCCATGAAAGCTGTTGAAGAGAGGAGAGATAGAAGGAGACGCCGCCTGTTGCGCATTGGATGTGCCCATGGAGCGCCAGCAGGCGGCGTGCTCTTTCTCTCTTTGCTGCCCCTCCAGGGCCCACGTGACCCTAGTGGTAGTGGCTCTACAGGACAGGACAGGTGTGTGTGTGTGTGTGTGTGTGTGTGTGTGTGTGTGTGCATGTGCATGTGTGCGCGCATGGTGCATGGTGCATGTGTGTGTGTGTTGTGTGTGTGTGCGTGTGTGTGTGTGCGCGCGCGTCACATATGTAGCATGAAATCAGCGTTCTTATCACTATGCTAGGTCCTGTATGTGTCTATTGTAATGCCTGCCTTGTATCTACACAATATTGGTTTTACTGTTATACAAAGTAGTGGTTGAAGAACTGAACTCAACAATGACCATATCCCCCATGCTCATTCTTGTCTAATGCAGCTACCAGCTAATGCGAAGCTGTTGGCACAAAGACCCACTGCAGAGACCGGAGTTTGTAAAACTACAGCAGCAGCTCGAGGAAATCATCCAGGACACTGAGCCGTATTTTGAGTTTGACGGCGAAGGTCCCGAAGGAACAGAGGAAGAGTCAGCATCCTCCGGTACCCCATCTCAGTGCTAGTGTATATAGATGATAGTGATACTGATGATGTCATCGATGATGTCTTTCTCTGGCACACCATGCCAGGTCTACTGTATATAGACAGTGGTGATGGTTAAACTGATGATGTCATTGATGATGTCATTTTTACACAGGGTATGACATCAACTACTTAGTATGTTGTTGCTACACATCAAACTGGCATCATGATTGCAGCGCGAGGTCACAGCATGATAGCTACGCAGAACAAAATCTCTCTCACCTCCGTCCCAATCAAACCCATCCAGATAAACTTGAGAAACTGAATTTGAAACCACATTGTACCTGGCCATTTATTATTTTAAAGTTCTTGTCGACAGTGGAAACAGTCTGAAGTTCTAGCATTGTCAATATTTTGTCCATTTCCTCCTTGCACACACATGTTACTGGATATCTCGCGGAAGAGCTGGCTCCAACAGTGAGACCGTTGCCCGCTTACACATTTCTGTGCTTTGCGCTATAACATTGCCAACCGGTAACAAACCGCTTCCGCAATAATATGTGAATCTATTGCATTCTATTTCGTTCTCTCTTTCCTTGAATCTCCACCATTTTTGAATTTTTTAATATCAGCTGCTTGCATACTTCACAGCTACACTGTGGAATACCCCATAGGAACACTGCAGTCATAGAGCGTAGATTGCTGCTGCTCAGAGCTCAATAATTATTTAATTTCCACGCAAAAATCCTTCCGAAGTAGGAACACAGTGATTACGACGGCTCATGCATGCATGCATCCCACTTGAACCAACCTACTTGTTCTGCATACTACCTCCGACAAGCGAAACTTGGCGCGTTTTTTGATTTTTTTTGTTTTGGTACCAAAATTACTTCACAAGGCTGTGAGGTACGACCTACTTGTAGCTCCATGCAACCGAGTGCAGGAAGCCAAGCGACGGCCTAGTGAGTGGCACATAGCTCAGACTTAGTCAGAGGCATGCGTGTCTCTCGTGTACCAGCAAAACTGTGCGCGCGTCCATTCTGCGAAGGAGAATCGTCGTGCTTTCGCGTTTCAATGCAAAACCAAGGAGTTCTCTCTCTCTCCTCTTGGTCACTCCGCCAGCACAGAGTCCATACGACCATGCCAAACAATCCTAGTGCCTTTCAACAGCCACCAGAGCGATGCGTCTCTGGTGGCTAATGAAAATCGCCAGGAATTGCTGCAGGCAATTTTGGACAGTTGGCGAGAATACCCTGCAAAACAGTTGACTCCAGGCGCTTGCGGAGATGTTGTACAGTTCTTACCACTTCAATCTGGATAGTGGCGGCGGAAACGACTACCCTCGACACCGTGGCTCGAGCACTGCACACAGGAGCGACATCGAGATTTTCAGAGCGATTACAACAGAGGTACTTGCTGCAACTGAATCCGCTCTAGTCGCACTTTCGTCTCAAAACAGGGACAATTCCTCTCCAGAGGAAACTGCGATCTCTGAATCAGGGGAGAGTTGTTCAGCGTAACAGATGTCTCTAATGTCCTTGTTGAGCAATACAAAGTTGAATTTTGGTGAGTCAATCATTAGTTTTGATTGTAAAGTGTGAGTTGTTTCGAGTAATTTGAAGTAAAAAAAGCGCCAAGTTTCGCTTGTCGGAGGTAGTATAACTATGATGACCGAAACCCTCAAGTAGTAAGGATCTTCATTGCCCAGTCGAGAGCAGAGCTTGCTGGGTGTTCTGTACATGTGTCAGGGGCGTCGCATACGGTACGGTCACTACGGTATTGACCGTACCACAATTCGCCCCAAGTACCCTGTGAATCAATAAAATGTGGGCTCTAAATTACCAAAACTTTCGGCTCAGCCACCCCTTCCACACGAATAAATTGCACTTCAGATGGCTGACCGTACCACACTAAAATACCTTCAGACATTGCCCCTGTGTGTGAATGGCTACTGGCCCCGAGCACAAGCGACACGAATGCAGTCGCAATGAAACTACCCACGGCAACAACGAACGTCAAAACAAAGAATGTCAATGTCAACTGTCGACATTCTTTGCTGTCGTGGGACGTATCTTGTGCACGTTTTTGCTGTGCTCACCTTCCCTTCCCCAGTCTTACTTTAAAGCTGTGAACTTTCCCAGTTTGAAGGCAAACAAACAAGTACTCAATGAAAAAGAACACATTCATACCTTTAAGACTCCGCTTCACTTGTCTTGTCCCGTCATACATGTATCTCAGTCCCCACTCACTGTCAGAGTGTAACGGGAAATCCCCTAGAGAGTGTAGCGGGAAATCCCCTATAGTCGAGAACAGCACCAGCTCGCCTGTCGACATGTCTCGCTTGCTACACAGCCCGCCGCGTCCGACACCCGTCCGTAGCGCTGTTTCCGTCACATGCGGCTCCGTCTCCGCTACCTTTCCGTCTGACGCTTGGTCGCTAATGGTGAATTCTCGTCTGCTTGGCACTGCTAAACAAATGCTTGTGCCTTCCTCGGGAAGGTGACGACATGTAAGCAACGTCGCATTGTTATTGTTGACAACGAAAACAGCTCGTTATAGCGAGTGGAGTATGTCCGGGAGCTCCTACTTGAGCTCGAGTTGGCAGTTTCAGATGCGTTCCTCCACTGACGAGCCACCATTCTCCGGCCTCCAATCTTGCACCGATAGAAATTTTGTTTTATTTACGCAGTTGGATAGTTCGCTGGTCCGCCGAAGAGAAAGGTAGCTCGGCTATTCTCCTGTGTAACTCCAGTCTTCCATGACATCATGGATAACAATGCGCCCAAAGTAATACCATGAGCCCCTCATGGCTTTCGACAATCTTTTCGACGAGCGACCTGTTTCTAACAAATGGCGGGCCTTCCACACGGCAACAACATGAAATTCGACGGAGTAGCCAGAACACTAACCAGAGTGTTGCACGAGATATGCCAGCCGTTACGGACCGGTTCTCGGCAACAGTTACAAGTAGAAGATTTAGCTGTTGCCGAGTGGAACGCCAGGAACTACTGAGAAGGAAGACGCTCGAATCTGGAAGAAGCAGAGCTCCTCATGAGAGCCCAAATGAGACCAGACAAACCCAGAGCACATAGATCTATCTGTTTTTCGGCAAACGTGATGAACGAAACGCGCGTTGCTGGCACTTCTATTCTTACGCGAGTGTGAAAACCGCGATGAGTGGCACAGTCTAGACCGAGTAGCCATTCACACGACCTAGCCATTCACCATGTCCACAGTCCACACGATCCACGTCGTGACGACTGGGCGCTAGCCATTCGCACCACGAAACGAGTTACGTGCAAATCCACAACTGTATGTTTGTGTGGCCTAGCACCTGCAGACCTGGTGCATTCAGATTCAGACCGTTCACATCAGGGAGTCGTATAGAGTCTATACGACTCCCTGGTTCACATGGACCTCGAACTCGTGGGGATATTCAGTGAGGACTGGCGCCTAACGCCTGGGTACTCGAGTAGAGGTTTGCCTACCGGCAAAAAGCAAAGATCACGTCGGGGAAGTAGCCATGACATTGTAATGATGTAGAGGCGTCCGCCCGCCTTTCACCGTTTCGAGTTTCGGCATGCACCGGGAGCTGCGCGAGTGTATTTCCATGGCTACAGCACACTGAATAACATCATCATGTTTTCAGTTTGCCCACCCAGGCCAAGGTCTGAGTAGAAAAGACCAGTGACAGCGCAGAGCCTGACTCTCACACATTTGCTAGAGAGTAGTAAAACAGTGGGGACGACAAGCGACATGAATGCAAGTGACAGATGGCAGCACTGCACTATAACTATCACACTATTACAGTATTAGCGTGGAGAGATGGAGAGATGGACCCATCACCCGTGCATGATCGATGATAAACCCTCTTTTAGAAGGGGCCAAGAAAACATCCCCCATTACAATGGTTACCATGGTTACCGTGACCATGGTGACGTGCAAGAATTCACCTCTCAGAACATTACACGCTTTGAATACTATCACGACCCATAACCGCATGCTCCTTAAAATCTTATTTAGCAAAGATCGTCGCTTTCCCTCCGCTAGTCTTTACGAAATTGCCAAGATCAGCCCCCTTTCCACTCGACATAAGTACCACCTCTGTGTTCTCATACATAAAATATTACTAAATAAAATACCCTTGCATATGCAGGCTTATAATTGGTTCTCCGAAACACGGAACACCCGGAACTCACTCAGTCTCCCACGCGCTGCCTCCACCCTATTCACTAGATCCCCGATCTTTGCTGGCTATGTGTTTTGGGCAACATTACCAACGCAGGCCAAGACCAGCACGTCGATGGATAATTTTGTTGCTAAAATCTCTGCTCAATTATAGGTTTCATGTATATCCTGCTGGTTTGTCTCCTCCTTTGCCTTCTTTGCCTCTTATTTGTATTCTTTTATCTGTTTTACTGCTGTGGTTGGCTTTCACCCTTGTCTCAGTTTTATTGGCCGTCATCATGATGTGCCATGAGATAATGATATAAATACAAAAAAAATAAATAAATACAAAATACAAAAATACGATCAGTCACCGCCACCTCACAAAGGTCCAAAGGTCGTTGACGCTGCAAATTCTATTCAAAAGAATCTTTTGAATAGAATTTGCAGCGTCAATGACCTTGGTGTGGTTGTGGTGACTGAGCGTGATATGAATTGGCTGCTGCAGTGGAGCCTCCGTGTTCTAGAAAATCTTAGAGTACTAAGTAGTACTAACTATTACTAGATAAACCTTGTTTTAGTGTGACGTAATTATGTTGTTGATTTGACAGCATGAAACAAGGTGGAAGGTCACTGTTTCCGAACATGGTGTCCATCACCTTGTTTCATGCCGTCAAACCAACATGACATTGTGCAGTACTATCTAGAACTGGTGATTCAGTGTCCGATTATTCTTCGGATAGACAATTAGCCATAGCCAATTGACAATTTTGGCGTTCAATGTTAACCGTTTCAATATTGTGCATAATCTTTACTTATAAAGAAGAGGCACCTGTGACGTGTGTTTGTGTGTGTGTCACGCAGAAGCGCTGCGGAGCAGCGCCGCCGGCATGCCCTGAGCACGCGAAGCGTGCGCGCGATCATGCGAACAGTGTAGCCACCACCACGTGCTGAGCACGTGTGCTGTTCATGTACTTGCTTCACCCGCATGCCACGTTCGGCCAGGCAACGCTGGCCGGGGGTGCTGCTAGTTGTTAAAGGGGAAGTTAAGGCAAAAATTAAAATTTCACCAGTTGTAGTCTTCGGGGTGCTGAGTCGAATGGTCGTGGTCCGAGGAAGCTGAGACGCTCCCTTCCTACTTGAATCCCAATCGAACTCGCGCACTTCCACCGAAACTGGGTGACTGCGCCCTACTAGATGGGGATTTGTATGCAAAATGTCACTAAAAGCGCCATTTCGTTCTTAAAAAAGCACGGGTGACCGCGATTGGCCCATATGTTGTAGTCTTTTGGACGCTGAGTCGACTGGTTTTGGTCCGAAAAGGCTGCGATGCGGCGTTCCTCCTTTATTCCCAATCGAACATGGTTGAAGAAGCGGTCACGTGCTCCTGCGTACACCAGTCACCTGGTCACCGTGCCTGCAGGGTACAACTTACTAGCCTGTTTGACCTTTTTTGGGTGCAGTCCTGTCACTCGAGTTGAACCCGAGTTGAACCTTGGTGTGAAAGTTGTCACCTGCTGGCGTGGTGACCAGGTGATTTGGGCACCCAGGACCACGTGACCGCTTCTTCAACCATGTTCGATTGGGAATAAAGGAGGAACGCTGCATCGCAGCCTTTTCGGACCAAAACCAGTCGACTCAGCGTCCCAAAGACTACAACATATGGGCCAATCGCGGTCATCCGTGCTTTTATAAGAACGAAATGGCGCTTTTAGTGACATTTTGCATACAAATCCCCATCTAGTAGGGCGCAGTCACCCAGTTTCGGTGGAAGTGCGCGAGTTCGATTGGGATTCAAGTAGGAAGGGAGCGTCTCAGCTTCCTCGGACCAACACCATTCGACTCAGCACCCCGAAGACTACAACTGGTGAAATTTTAATTTTTGCCTTAACTTCCCCTTTAAGTAACAGATAAAGAGAACAAATCCGTTGCTCCCCGGGTTACAACGAGTGCTGAATGTCATAGATAGAGCTTTGAACATAGCAGAATCAGCAGCACAGGACGCTCAGGTTTGTTGTTCAATGTCGTAACGAACCTGCACGTCCTTTGGCGAGTCTGCTATGAAGGTTTAAGCGTTTCCTGGACTCGTGTTTGTAACAACCAAGTGTTCAAAAAACAGCCAAGCATTGCTGCAAAGACATTAGTTATTTTGTACTGAAACTCGACCGCTATGCTCCGAGAAAGGCGACAGCAATTCACAAGCACAGTACAGTGTACTTTTGTATGCCGGTGATGACCATGGCGACTAAACTCTCATAACGCTACTGAGCACTAGACTAACACACAAGCTACACTTCTGTCAGAGGTGTAGCAGCAGTTCTGATCACAAAGACTTTTTAGTGCCCCGTTCTCATGGTTCTTCGCCACCTTACACTGCACACTTACAGGGCTGTGGACCAGTGTGGTAGTGTGGCAGTGTGGTAGACGCGAAACTCGCAAGACGGTGAATGAGTCATGATGTAGAGAGGGCAAGCTGCCTCATGGACATGGTACGTGACAACAAAGAACTGATCGACCTGTGAACAAGTCTGTAGTCTTATTAACCCTTTTTCTGAGTTTAGCTGCCACAGGACGGATCCATCCGCGCGCCTGTGCAGTGCATACTGCAGAAACTCAAATCTTTCGTAACTCGGCTTTCCCTGAGCGGAATTGAGCAATATTTAACCCTATAGGGCGGATATATCCGCCAGACTGTACGGTGCATGCTGAGGTGACTTCAAACTTTCGTCATTCAGTCAATCCTTGTTCCAGTTCAACAAACGAAAGGTTTAACATTACCCTCCTACAGAGGAAGTAGTTAGTACCCAGTGGAACCTGGATATCTGCATGTATACTGCATACAAACATAGAAAGCAGTAAGTTGAAAGTCAGCATAGCGAAGACAGAGATAGAGAGAAATACCATTGTTCCATAGCAAGTAGAGATAATACCATCTTTCCAGAATTGGGTAGTAGCAACGGAATTAAAAAAAGCCTCGAAGCCAGCCTAGTTAGAGTTACTGAAGTACAAGTTATGCATTCCTAATATCCTAAATTCCTATCACTCTGTTTCCAAATCTAAACAACACAATGTATGTCATAATTATAGATTGCGTACTAAAATATATATATATTTAAAAAAAACACAAAAACCACAAACTATATTTAAAAAACCCACAAAAACCACTCGCAAAACTTAACAAAACCTTTCAATGTGACACTAGGCTGTACTGGCAACTTTTCTCTAGTGCGTAAATGCCTAGCCGTCATGCACGACAGTACGGAGATAGTTAGACTGCTGCTGGTGTTCATCCACAGTTTATGCTACGTTCTAACCTATCCATTTGTGTCAAAATGTGTCGTTTCACTAGATGGGAATAGAGCATTAGGAATGTGATTGCGGTGGATGTCCTACATTGCTATGCAACAAAGCAGACATCAACCCAGGACTCGCTCTGTATCCAATCTGCACTATCATGCTGTTGATCAGAATGCAGTTGCAAATATCTCGCTTGATTTCACGACAAAATCTAGCATGTTATGGAATTAGGAAGAGCTGAGGGCTGACACAGGCTCAACTTTGACCATCCCCTGCTGAAGGTTGTGATGGTGGTGGGGTGGTTGGTACAAGGGGCTCAAGAGCTGTAGAGGCAGCAGCGGCCGTGTCTGGAATACCCAGGTGACTCAGAATCAGAGTGAGCTGTGCCTGCATTACCTTCTGCTGTTCCAATTGCAGCCTGCACAGCAACAACAGAAGGAGCAGTAGTACCTGTACCATAGTATTATAGAGCAGAGTCCGAGCTGTTTGGACTCCCCAAGATAAGTATAGATTATAGACCGGTTAGGAGGTCTATATATCCTGTATAGACCAACTATGAGGTCTATAATCTATTTATCGTGTTCTCCACGCAATAGTTTCTCTTCATATACGACATATCCTTGTAATTCTAGTATTATACTATAGCCTATACCGCATTGTACTGCATTGAAAGTCAAGATCATTGTTTAAACTAGGTTCAGCATCGGTAGCACAGTGGCTGGGTGGTAAGGAAGAGTGACTGAGATTCACAAGGTTGTGGGTTCAAATCCCATCTTGTGTATTTCTGCTTTCTTCAAAAATTTCTTTTTCTAAGTTGGAGAGAAAATTTCTAAGTCCAAGAAATTCTAAGGAGTCAAATATAAGTAGTCAAATATATCGTGTATTTGACTAAGCAGTCAAATACGCGATATATTTGACCGCTTAGGTATCAGGGAAATTAGTGGGGTCAAATACTAAGAAGGCGATAAATAGTGTAAATAGTGTTCTTATACTAGTACTAGTACTAGCACCACGACTAAAGCTACCATTTCTGGCGCACAAACATATCCAGCACAAGCAGCACCATCACAGCGTCCACCTCCACCACCGCCTTCCCTCCATCACCGCGTTCCTCCACCACCGCCTCCCCACCACCACCGCCTCCCCTCCACCACCGCCTCCCCTCCATCACCGCCTTCCCTCCATCGCCGCCTCCCCTCCACCACCGCCTCCCCTCCATCGCCAGCGCCACCAGCACCACCGCCAGCACACCCGCCACCGCAACCACCAGCACCAAACACCATCACCGTGATCACCACCACGGCCACAAAAGACAAAAACACAAAGGACAGTGGGGGAAAGAGAATCGCTACGGAGCACAGGGGCAAAGCTGGTCCCCCTTTCAGGGGCAGGCTGGTCTCCCTTTCAGGGGGGCGGGGGCGGAGGTATCCTCGACCGCATACTTCTTTCTTCTCTTTTTCTTTATTCCTTTCTTTTCTTTTCTTTTCTTGCCGTGGTTGGCTATCACCCCTCTCTTACACTTTGCGTGCCAATTGGTCATGGACCACGAGTTGAGTGAAATAAATAAATAAATAAATGCTGTAAGTCAGCCAATATTCTGCGCATACCGTATTTTTGGCTATTTAGGCGTGGGTATTTTTGGCCGAAAATTTGTTGCGGCTGAAAGTTTGTTATGCAAGGTTCAGTGTGACAGTGTATACAAGCAGCAGGAGTACAGGCTGAAATTGTCATGGGGCTGTAATGTGTTCTAGCCCTGGGAGGCCGAAATTTAAAGGCGCTGAAGATGTGTAGACTTACATGTAGAGTAGGTGTAGAATGGCTGGTGCATGTCATTCATGGGCATTATGTGCACGCTGAACCAACAATACAGGCCGACATTATTATGGGGGTGCACATGCCCCCCCCCCCCTCCCGTGCTGCATGCGGGCTACGCGAATGGAGCTGGTGAAGCTTGCCGGACACTAGGTCTCTGCGGTGTCAGGGTTTCGGTGTCATAGCTCAACACATACCGGACGTTTTTCGAGAGGTCCGCATCTCTCTTATCCTTGCTCTTCGATTCCAATTGCTCCGTCCACTCGAGCAGTCTGTTGGCTGGCTTTTCCCAATTGCCCAACATTTCCTGCACTGGAAAGGGATAGAGAACAGGGGGAAGGAAGAGAGAAACTATGTTCTGGTTGAAAGTATCCCCACACATCATATACTATTATAATTATTCCCGTAGCTATGCAAAAGATTGTCAATATCAATGTATATACCGGAATTGTCCTCGCTGTGGTGATGGTGATGTGAGTGCAGAGTTTGGATCGGCCAAGAACGCAATGTGGTGGTGTGGTGTATTGTATTATGCAAAAGGCGTTACTTCAGTAACGTCTGGCGCTGGCCAGGGTCCACACAGCTTTAATTCCGTGTTTGTTTGTGCCGTCGGCATGCCTGGCACTATCCCGTACCTGTCCCGTACCGTACCAACAAAGACAGCTGGCCACAATATTCAAATAGGGCTTTCAAATGCAAGATCATAACGTGAAGCAACTCGGAAGAATGAGTATGTATGCGAAGTGTATCGGGAGAATGAAGAGAAGGGCGATAGTGCGGGTTTGAATCCGAGGTTATGTCTTAAAAACAAAAAGGAGAAATAAAAAATTTATAACATCCCTATGCTGTTCGGAGATTGAGAATCATCCCTATGCTTTTTTTGCTTAGGTCATCAAGGTGGTAGACGGTGTCATATTACCCTCGAATGCAAAGAGAAAGTTTATTTCTTTCGCTCAGGGGCCTACGCTATGCTTTTTTGCCTACATTGTAGCTCATCATGCATGTTATTCGAACACATGGAAACTTTTTGCAATACAATGATGTAGCCGATCAGTTCGTTGTGGTATGGTTGGGCATTATAGCCATCAAAGCATAGCGTAGGGCCCTGAGCTTCCAAGCTTTCTCGTTACAGTACACAGGGAAATTGACTATTCGCTGGCTATCTTTTTTGAAAGGATTGGGAGAATTTCAAATTCGGGGAAGTGAACTGCCTGAAAAGAGAAAAGAAATGCCAGACTCACCAGCACTCGAACCCGGGACCTTGCCTGTCATGAGTCCTGGTGGTGACAGCCATTTTTGCTCAGACTTTTCCTATTTTCGAGCCTTTCACTCAAACCAATGAATTTTGTAACAGTAGATACTTATGTAGGTGTTGGGAGAACACGGCATTATGTAGTGCTGCCATGCACACACTACTCCCGCTTTAATAATGACATAGCCTAATCAAGCTCAACTGACGGGGGAATCCCCCTCCCCCCTGGAAACACTGGGTATTGAACGGGGAGAAAGTAAAACATACATACACACATATACAAACCCAATCACACAAACGCGCGCACACACACATACACACATATGTGCACACACACACACACACACACACACACACACACACACACACACACACACACACACACACACACACACACACACACACACACACACACCTTGAACCTTGAACTTGCCCATTGCCGTAGGTAATGATAACGAGAGGACTAATTCGGCGGCAACCGGCAGAAAAGTTCGTGGCGCTTGAGATCGCCGGGGCGGCAACACGTCTTCCCGCAACCACAACGATACTCTGTCTCGGCGGAGACATCACGAGGCTGAGGACGACGGTGGATGACCTCCATCCACTCCGAGCGGTTCTGGGCAGTGTCGAGCCATTCCTTCTCCGGGACAAGTGGATGAATGCGGTTGAAATCGTCCACAACCACATCCCGCCAACGCTTGCGTGCCCCCCCCCCCCCCACCCCTGGCCCACCCCCCCACACCCACATATTTGTACTTGTACTTTCTCGATCTGGTCACATAGGTCTCCCCGGGAGAAGGGAGAGAGACTCAAAATGATCTTGGAAAGCTGACTCAATTGCCTATTGAACTGCCCAACGGCTGATACACGCTAATACCCCCAAGATTTGGGTGGACTTGGGGAAATGATCCCACTTATAGGCTCTCCACACCTCAGCAAGAGAGACACCACCCCCCCCCCCCCCCCCATCCCCACATACACCCACCCACAAACACACACGCACACACGCACGCACGCACACACACGCGCACACACGCACGCACGCGCGCACGCACGCACGCATGCACACACACACACACGCATGCAAGAAAGCAGGTAAGATACTTACATTGCTGATCTGTAAAGGTTGAGTTGTTCTTCCACTTGCTCAGACGTTTCACCTGCATTTCATCAACGAATATACAGAATATACACAAACCATACATACTCAATCCGCGGACAGAACTGTTTCGTCCTTTGTGGACTCATCATAGCAGAACAGAGAAAATCTGATAGCAATGAAAAATAGAATTTCCAAAGTCAGATCCATCCCACACATACACCTGTTTCACATACTCTAAATTCAGAATTTTTTGGTGCTCAATATTTTCGGTATGAGGGCCAGGTTATTTTATTATTATTATACGCATTCCCGCGTTGAAGTGTAGCAGCAGTATGCTGCGTCCACAGCTTCGCTTATGCAGAATGGCTTGGGTGAGAGGAGAGGGGAGAGAAAGCAACAAGGCAACCAACATCTATGAAATTATATATAGGCCAGGTTAGGTGAACAGAAATTTTAGGTACAGAGAGCAGTTCCCTATTGGATTATGTGTGTTTGTGTTTGTTCAGTGCATTGAAATTTTAGGTACGAAACAGATGCACCGAAAGTGCCAAAAATAAAAGTACATCGAAAATTTGTGAAATTCCAGTAATTTATCACTGAAGGCAGACGCGCTGACCCCATATCATCATATGTTTAATTCGAGCTACACGTGTACACGAAAAACTGTGTTTATTTTTACGTTATATTAGCATACACATTTCATAAGTCAACGGTTGTTTAAAAATAGACGTCAAAACGGATTATCTCCTCCAGTATTTTGATCACAGGAAAAAGCCGAGGCTCACTGTACTATCACTACTTCAGTAACGAAGTTACGTATTGTACTTCTCCGTGTGTTGGCACATAGCACGTCTGTTACTTCTAAGCAGGGGTCGCGCTTCTGGACTTCATTCTATTCTATGTAGAAAACTGTGCTTTCAAATTAATTCTAGCCATACATTATTCGTAACCTTCACTGATGAGATCTATAGTGGTAGCAACAGCACTGTATGGAGGAAAAAACATTATTAATTTTGTCCGTATCCACAACTTGGAGTCATGTTACTAGTGTGTGAGGTCAGCCAGGAAGCGTGTGCAGTGGAGGTGGAATTGCTTCATTGAGACTAAAGAAGCCAAACAAAGTACACATCCCAACCTAAGTGGCCCTTACATGGCCATTCCCAACTTGTGCAGAAGCTATAAGCTTCTATGCAGACAGTGGACTTACTCGATGGCGTTTGGGAATTCCCAGTAACCATCGGAAACGCAGCAGGATCACAAGGATGCTACTGTTGCCAAACGTGTTTTCCAACAGCTCCACACCGTCCATTCTCTCGCATCGGCGGATGTACATTGCCCAAGTACTCTCTAAGGTACTCTGAGCCTCATTGGCGACCTAGGTTGGGTCAAAAATATATACATGCAGAGCACATACAAGTCAGGGACTTCCCCTCTTACATGTATGGCATAAGTATAACTTCGAACCTTCCAAGTCACAGTGTGTTGGAGTGAGCATCCAAGACGTGCTCGAGCCGATAGCCAGCTAGCCGTAGAACGTCAGTACCGTCGTTCAGTGTCGTGCAATGTCATCGCATGAGCTGATTGTCAAGTAACTGGTGGTGTTAGTGGACATTATAGTGTAACGTGTGGTTCTGCGGTCCTTTTCTTTACTACAAATTACTCCTTGGCTCTCCATCTGAAAAATATGATGCACGCATTCAAGGAGTTTTATTTTTAGGCACATGTACACTGTAGAGAAACTTTTGGGTCGAGAGTGAAACAAGCAGTGGAGAGCGTTTCCACAGTACAAGCAATGGAGAGCGTTTCCACAGTACAAGCAGTGGAGAGCGTTTCCACAGTACAAGCAATGGAGAGCGTTTCCCCAGTACAAGCAGTGGAGAGCGTTTCCCCAGTACAAGCAATGGAGAGCGTTTCCCCAGTACAAGCAGTGGAGAGCGTTTCCCCAGTACAAGCAATGGAGAGCGTTTCCCCAGTACAAGCAGTGGAGAGCGTTTCCACAGTACAAGCAATGGAGAGCGTTTCCCCAGTACAAGCAGTGGAGAGCGTTTCCACAGTACAAGCAGTGGAGAGCGTTTCCCCAGTACAAGCAGTGGAGAGCGTTTCCCCAGTACAAGCAATGGAGAGCGTTTCCCCAGTACAAGCAATGGAGAGCGTTTCCCCAGTACAAGCAATGGAGAGCGTTTCCACAGTACAAGCAGTGGAGAGCGTTTCCCCAGTACAAGCAGTGGAGAGCGTTTCCCCAGTACAAGCAATGGAGAGCGTTTCCCCAGTACAAGCAATGGAGAGCGTTTCCCCAGTACAAGCAATGGAGAGCGTTTCCACAGTACAAGCAATGGAGAGCGTTTCCCCAGTACAAGCAGTGGAGAGCGTTTCCCCAGTACAAGCAATGGAGAGCGTTTCCCCAGTACAAGCAGTGGAGAGCGTTTCCCCAGTACAAGCAATGGAGAGCGTTTCCCCAGTACAAGCAGTGGAGAGCGTTTCCACAGTACAAGCAGTGGAGAGCGTTTCCCCAGTACAAGCAGTGGAGAGCGTTTCCCCAGTACAAGCAATGGAGAGCGTTTCCCCAGTACAAGCAATGGAGAGCGTTTCCCCAGTACAAGCAGTGGAGAGCGTTTCCCCAGTACAAGCAATGGAGAGCGTTTCCCCAGTACAAGCAGTGGAGAGCGTTTCCCCAGTACAAGCAATGGAGAGCGTTTCCCCAGTACAAGCAGTGGAGAGCGTTTCCACAGTACAAGCAGTGGAGAGCGTTTCCCCAGTACAAGCAGTGGAGAGCGTTTCCCCAGTACAAGCAATGGAGAGCGTTTCCCCAGTACAAGCAATGGAGAGCGTTTCCCCAGTACAAGCAATGGAGAGCGTTTCCACAGTACAAGCAGTGGAGAGCGTTTCCCCAGTACAAGCAGTGGAGAGCGTTTCCCCAGTACAAGCAATGGAGAGCGTTTCCCCAGTACAAGCAATGGAGAGCGTTTCCCCAGTACAAGCAATGGAGAGCGTTTCCACAGTACAAGCAATGGAGAGCGTTTCCCCAGTACAAGCAGTGGAGAGCGTTTCCCCAGTACAAGCAATGGAGAGCGTTTCCCCAGTACAAGCAGTGGAGAGCGTTTCCCCAGTACAAGCAATGGAGAGCGTTTCCCCAGTACAAGCAGTGGAGAGCGTTTCCACAGTACAAGCAGTGGAGAGCGTTTCCCCAGTACAAGCAGTGGAGAGCGTTTCCCCAGTACAAGCAATGGAGAGCGTTTCCCCAGTACAAGCAATGGAGAGCGTTTCCCCAGTACAAGCAATGGAGAGCGTTTCCACAGTACAAGCAGTGGAGAGCGTTTCCCCAGTACAAGCAGTGGAGAGCGTTTCCCCAGTACAAGCAATGGAGAGCGTTTCCCCAGTACAAGCAATGGAGAGCGTTTCCCCAGTACAAGCAATGGAGAGCGTTTCCCCAGTACAAGCAGTGGAGAGCGTTTCCACAGTACAAGCAGTGGAGAGCGTTTCCCCAGTACAAGCAGTGGAGAGCGTTTCCCCAGTACAAGCAATGGAGAGCGTTTCCCCAGTACAAGCAGTGGAGAGCGTTTCCACAGTACAAGCAGTGGAGGGCGTTTCCCCAGTACAAGCAGTGGAGAGCGTTTCCCCAGTACAAGCAATGGAGAGCGTTTCCCCAGTACAAGCAATGGAGAGCGTTTCCCCAGTACAAGCAATGGAGAGCGTTTCCACAGTACAAGCAGTGGAGAGCGTTTCCCCAGTACAAGCAGTGGAGAGCGTTTCCCCAGTACAAGCAATGGAGAGCGTTTCCCCAGTACAAGCAATGGAGAGCGTTTCCCCAGTACAAGCAATGGAGAGCGTTTCCCCAGTACAAGCAGTGGAGAGCGTTTCCACAGTACAAGCAGTGGAGAGCGTTTCCCCAGTACAAGCAGTGGAGAGCGTTTCCCCAGTACAAGCAATGGAGAGCGTTTCCCCAGTACAAGCAGTGGAGAGCGTTTCCCCAGTACAAGCAATGGAGAGCGTTTCCCCAGTACAAGCAGTGGAGAGCGTTTCCCCAGTACAAGCAGTGGAGAGCGTTTCCCCAGTACAAGCAATGGAGAGCGTTTCCCCAGTACAAGCAGTGGAGAGCGTTTCCCCAGTACAAGCAGTGGAGAGCGTTTCCCCAGTACAAGCAGTGGAGAGCGTTTCCCCAGTACAAGCAGTGGAGAGCGTTTCCCCAGTACAAGCAATGGAGAGCGTTTCCCCAGTACAAGCAGTGGAGAGCGTTTCCCCAGTACAAGCAATGGAGAGCGTTTCCCCAGTACAAGCAGTGGAGAGCGTTTCCCCAGTACAAGCAATGGAGAGCGTTTCCCCAGTACAAGCAGTGGAGAGCGTTTCCCCAGTACAAGCAGTGGAGAGCGTTTCCCCAGTACAAGCAATGGAGAGCGTTTCCCCAGTACAAGCAATGGAGAGCGTTTCCCCAGTACAAGCAGTGGAGAGCGTTTCCCCAGTACAAGCAATGGAGAGCGTTTCCCCAGTACAAGCAGTGGAGAGCGTTTCCCCAGTACAAGCAATGGAGAGCGTTTCCCCAGTACAAGCAGTGGAGAGCGTTTCCCCAGTACAAGCAATGGAGAGCGTTTCCCCAGTACAAGCAGTGGAGAGCGTTTCCCCAGTACAAGCAATGGAGAGCGTTTCCCCAGTACAAGCAGTGGAGAGCGTTTCCCCAGTACAAGCAGTGGAGAGCGTTTCCCCAGTACAAGCAATGGAGAGCGTTTCCACAGTACAAGCAGTGGAGAGCGTTTCCCCAGTACAAGCAATGGAGAGCGTTTCCCCAGTACAAGCAATGGAGAGCGTTTCCCCAGTACAAGCAGTGGAGAGCGTTCCCCCAGTACAAGCAATGGAGAGCGTTTCCCCAGTACAAGCAATGGAGAGCGTTTCCCCAGTACAAGCAATGGAGAGCGTTTCCCCAGTACAAGCAGTGGAGAGCGTTTCCCCAGTACAAGCAGTGGAGAGCGTTTCCCCAGTACAAGCAATGGAGAGCGTTTCCCCAGTACAAGCAATGGAGAGCGTTTCCCCAGTACAAGCAGTGGAGAGCGTTTCCCCAGTACAAGCAGTGGAGAGCGTTTCCCCAGTACAAGCAATGGAGAGCGTTTCCCCAGTACAAGCAATGGAGAGCGTTTCCCCAGTACAAGCAGTGGAGAGCGTTTCCCCAGTACAAGCAATGGAGAGCGTTTCCCCAGTACAAGCAGTGGAGAGCGTTTCCCCAGTACAAGCAATGGAGAGCGTTTCCCCAGTACAAGCAGTGGAGAGCGTTTCCCCAGTACAAGCAATGGAGAGCGTTTCCCCAGTACAAGCAGTGGAGAGCGTTTCCCCAGTACAAGCAATGGAGAGCGTTTCCCCAGTACAAGCAATGGAGAGCGTTTCCCCAGTACAAGTAATGGAGAGCGTTTCCCCAGTACAAGCAGTGGAGAGCGTTTCCCCAGTACAAGCAGTGGAGAGCGTTTCCCCAGTACAAGCAATGGAGAGCGTTTCCCCAGTACAAGCAATGGAGAGCGTTTCCCCAGTACAAGCAGTGGAGAGCGTTTCCCCAGTACAAGCAATGGAGAGCGTTTCCCCAGTACAAGCAGTGGAGAGCGTTTCCCCAGTACAAGCAATGGAGAGCGTTTCCCCAGTACAAGCAGTGGAGAGCGTTTCCCCAGTACAAGCAATGGAGAGCATTTCCCCAGTACAAGCAGTGGAGAGCGTTTCCCCAGTACAAGCAATGGAGAGCGTTTCCCCAGTACAAGCAGTGGAGAGCGTTTCCCCAGTACAAGCAATGGAGAGCGTTTCCACAGTACAAGCAATGGAGAGCGTTTCCCCAGTACAAGCAATGGAGAGCGTTTCCCCAGTACAAGCAGTGGAGAGCGTTTCCCCAGTACAAGCAGTGGAGAGCGTTTCCCCAGTACAAGCAATGGAGAGCGTTTCCCCAGTACAAGCAGTGGAGAGCGTTTCCCCAGTACAAGCAATGGAGAGCGTTTCCCCAGTACAAGCAGTGGAGAGCGTTTCCCCAGTACAAGCAGTGGAGAGCGTTTCCCCAGTACAAGCAATGGAGAGCGTTTCCACAGTACAAGCAATGGAGAGCATTTCCCCAGTACAAGCAGTGGAGAGCGTTTCCCCAGTACAAGCAGTGGAGAGCGTTTCCCCAGTACAAGCAGTGGAGAGCGTTTCCACAGTACAAGCAATGGAGAGCGTTTCCACAGTACAAGCAATGGAGAGCGTTTCCCCAGTACAAGCAATGGAGAGCGTTTCCCCAGTACAAGCAATGGAGAGCGTTTCCACAGTACAAGCAGTGGAGAGCTTTCCCCAGTACAAGCAATGGAGAGCGTTTCCCCAGTACAAGCAGTGGAGAGCGTTTCCACAGTACAAGCAGTGGAGAGCGTTTCCCCAGTA